GTTCCATCTTTCAGGTAAAATAATCAGAAATATATGAATATAATTTGAATTCTGATTAGCTATTTGCTGTATGAACAAACGTGTCTTCGATAGAAAAATTTCCTTTTTTTGTACCAAATTCAGTAATGCAGTAGTAAAACACCTGTTGATATCAATAGTGTATTTAAATTTTTTTCAATCATAATAATCACATTTAATTACAATAATTCAATTGGATCTTGAATTTATTTTAATTTGATAATTTCAATTTTATTTATTATTGATATCCTGATATTTATTTTCTAGCTTTTGCATATATTTTTTAACACAAATCATTAATTTGTGAGCTAATTGTCTTCATCCTTAATTGGATTGTTATCCATTATTACCACACTAACTAGGATATGTTAATAAACTTCTCACAAAACGAGAATGAATCCAATTATTTCTTCCAATATACTGGAAGAATTACTTGCTTTTGAAATGTCTATTAAATAAATTTAAAGCTTTAATAAACTTAATTTTTTTAATTGCCAAGCTAATTAGCAAGCTAAATATAAACTTTTATTGGGTGTTTTATTATCTGCTAATTTATCAGATCGATACTGAATTAATTGATGAAAAATTTTTAAGTAGAAAAGTCATATTATTTCCAATAACCCAAAAGTATCAAATTGCATTATGTCTTGTTAGATCCCGCTGGAAGAGTTGCACCAAAGTTTCCTAAATCTGCCAAGATAAATTCATTCGAGGTTTCAAGCAACACTCAACTTAGTTTGTTATGCGATGCTCAAGCGTTCCCTGCTCCCATCTTCAGGTCTGTCTGATGACTTGTTCATAAAATGCTAAATGTTAAATATATATATTTAATCTACCGTACCTAATGCATGTTACACAGAACCGGTAAATGGAGCTAAACCACGAGTTGCTTCCACTGCTAAATATGACGTTCTTCACAAGACCCTCGGGGCGTCAGTGACAATGTTGTGTCAAGCACAAGGACACCCTCTTCCGACTTTCAGGTAGATTCATCGAACTAGTTTATTTGTGAATACATGAATTTTACGCTTGTATGCTCATCAAGTTAATTATGATGCTATTCAATCTTCAATAGTGAGTCAATTACTGATCTACTCATATGTGAAAAAAGATATTGAACAACAGTATTCATTATCAAGTTACTCACATGAGTTTAATTTTTTATTTTTGATTATTCACATTGGGTTTAAAAATAGCTGTGTCTATAGAAGCATTTTTTTCAAAATCTGATGTGCTATTTTTAGTTTTTATTTTCAGTTTCAATTTACTTTTGTAGTACAAACCTACTTTTTTTGACTGAATAATCAGCTGCTAAAACAAAAAGATCACTTCGAGCTTTGAACTCTTTTATTCCATGAGTAGATGATCATACAACAGCTGCCAAAGTATCATCAAAATATCACAAGGGTTCTCTTGACAATATTTTAATGCCATTTTTGGTAAACATCATCTCTATGTTGCAGTATGTCCTAAAGTACTGTGAAAATTGTCTTTTATGCTTTTGGACAGATAAAATATTCATCAACTTTTATTGAAAGTACCATCTTGAATTATTTTTGATGTAATCAGTTCAATTCAATCGTCTTCAATACTGAATCGTCTTTCAAAGCAATCGTTTTAGATAATCTCGAGAGTAATTTTCTTAGTTGATCAATGAATTCAAATAGATCACTTACTTATCACTTCTCATCTTCTTTGACAACTATCAAAAGTGTTAATATTTTTTTTACATCTTATTGATAAAAGTTTATCAATCAACTGCTTTATTTAGATAGTAGTTTATTCAATTTTGTATAAAATATTACCTAAAAAATATTGACAGAAAAAAACACTATTTCTTTTTATCTCTAACTTTATATCAATAAAAGAGTGATCCTTGTAGTACAAACATATTTTTCTCGGTGTAGAGCCGATCAACGGGGCGGCCCCTCGGGTTCCACCAACAGCTAAGATAACAGTTTTGACATCATCCGCAAGCTCACCAGTTACTATGCTTTGTCAGGCTCAAGCAAATCCTCTTCCAATTTTCAGGTATGCTTGCGCTAGTAATTTATCATTTAATTATTGACTTTCTACTTCATCAAACAATATCCTATCCTAGCGTTCAGATAATTCTTGAAATATCGATAGTATAACTTTCTTCAAATTTCTAACGAGCTTGATGAATGATTATAGAACCAGTTGGTAGTGGTCCTCCTCGTTTACCACCTAGATCAAAGTTCAATGAACTGTTAAGAAGACAGGGCTTGTCTGTAACGTTACTTTGTGAAGCTCAAGGGAGTCCAACACCATTCTATAGGTGAGCCGTCGTTATTCAAGCTTAGGAACATCAACCCTGATGTATATCACACGACTTATAAACCACGCTTAGTTTACATAGACATAAGTCAGCCTTGAGTGCAATGTCCGAATACTTATAAGCAACCCACGCAAGTTCTGGAAGGGAATAGAAAATGTGTTGTGCTGAAAAAGAAAAAAAAAACGTTATCTATATGTATACGTAGCACATGCTGACTATCCTCATAGCGGTCCGTGACCTTTCTTTACCTTACGACGAAAATTTATGAGCTTGCATTGATACAACTTAGCTTCGCATCACGTTAAATATTTTATTACTTGACACCTTACTTGCCACGTGAATGCCGAGGGCTATAACTTTCACTGCATCATGTTGAATTATTTTTAACTCTTTTGACGGCAACATCGATAAAGTTTATCGTCGAAAATTGCAGAACCTAGTGGCAGTGTGCCACCAAATGTTCGTGACAAGGAAGTGAATGGAATGAAGAGGATTTTGCAAATAGGTCAGACAGTTGGATTGACATGTCCTGTTCAAGGTTTCCCAGCACCTCTATTCAGGTACTGAGCTAAGTGTCCAGAGATATACCCTGTCCCATTGCGAATTAAGTCAGATAAATTATTTTCGTTTAATCCAATTTAAAGTTGGATAGCAGAATAGTCGTGTGCATGATGGTGATCTTTAAATTCCTCGGGGTTTACAGAGCCAAGCAGTAACGTGGTACCTAGAGTAGCAGGGGAAAGATATGAGGGTGGAAAGCTTGTCTACGTACGAAAATCCGGTGTTGTGGCGTTAGATTGCGCTGTGCAAGGGTCTCCCGTTCCAGTTATAAGGTACATTTATAGAAGAGAAAGAAAAAAAATTGTGTCTCTAGAACTGCGTAGCGGAATTCCCATCAAGCGACCCTTTTTTCAGAGGGGAACGTTGAAATTGCGCCTCGAACAACAGGGAAAAAGTTTGAAGGAGGGGAGATAGTACAAACATTTCAAGGCCACAGTGTCGCACTTGGTCATTCCCTTCAGAGTTACCCTCCTCCACTTACAAGGTATCTTAATCACTTCCAATCCTTCCTTTCCCCTGATATTTTTGTATCCCAAGACTTCGTTAATCATTCATGAATGATTTAATTTATGCTTTCAATCTCCGCTTTGCATGATTCACTTTAATTAGCATGTGTGTGTACCTTTGAGCTTTTATCATGTGAATTAATTAGTTGAACTGCAACATACATTTTTTTATTTGAGTTTGTTCATGAAAATATTTTTCATTTTGTTCACAAGTTTGAATAAATTTAATATGAATTACCATTAAAAAGTTTGAAAACAGTGATTATTTCAGTGTAAAAAAAAGTTTGAAAAAAATTATGATGGAGAATTTTTAAAGTGATACTTTAATAGATATAATTATTTTACTTCTACACTAAAAAAAAAAATTTATAGCGCGCAATAATGCGCAGTATTTTCTGTACCTATCAACGCATTGCAGAATTTGAGTCATGATTACCAACTGTGTATTCTTATCCAAGTGTTTTTTTGACACCAGACAAGGCACTTTGATTGGAGTACGCAGTTGGTAATCATGACGCAAACTTTGCAATGTATTGATAGGTATAGGAAATGCTGCGCATTATCGAGAAAATTAATCTAAAAGGTACGCCATTGTTCCTACAACTGGACATTTTTTTCAGTGTAGAAATTAGATGCTTTGATAATCTTCTTTTTTAACTGATCAAATATTTTCAAACTTTGGAACGTTAGTTCATTATATAATAAGGTTATTCTCTATCCTCTTTTTATGGAAAATCAATTTTTAATTCTTATAAATGACTCTTTCGATTGATGTACACCAAGAAGTCGTTTTAATTATTTTTAAATTATATGCAAAAAGGGGTTTTTATCAACCAATGTGTTGTGATATTCAATAGAATATTTCTGAGAGATAGAGAATAACATGGATATTATTTTTAATTATTTAATAAATAAGACTCAACACATCATTATCCTACAAACTTGTAAAACTGGAGCACAGTGAAAGCAGGTAAACTATCAACATTCTCTATCACTAGATAAGTTTAAGTAAACACATAAATAAATGTCATTGAGGACTTCTGAAAAATAAACGTGAGTATATAAATCTTAATTATTGACGTAGTATTTTAATTAATTTCTTAAGCTTCACATAATGTAACTCGCTAATTAACTGTCAAGTATTAATTCATGAAAGTGTCGATGATGAGCTTATAAAAAATAAGGAACAAAGATTTGAGAGGGAGTAAGTATCCGTGTAAGATGCGGCAAACAAGTTTACCCTTTTACTTTACAGAGCCATCAGGTCGAACGGCACCAAAGAGTACCGGAGATGGTTTAAATAAGAACCACGGTGTCGAAGGCGAGTCATTGGCTCTTGCGTGCGCGGCTCAAGGATTTCCTGCTTCGATATCTAGGTACACGCGCATGCTATCGCGTGTCGTGAATCTCCCTTTTGCTCACATGCTCATTCATTTAACACACTTAGTTTATTCATTCGCAGTTAAATTTTAAAATACTTGATTCTATTTTTAAAAAGACAAAGAACCTCAACATGCAAAACATGATAGACTAAGACTAATTTATCTTAAAAGCAATACTATTCTAACTTACTATCAGCATTTGACTAAATGTTTTGATTCTTTTTTTTGTTGCAGATGGTATAAGTTTATTGAAGGAACAACTCGAAGGCAGCCAGTACAGTTGAATGAACGAGTTCGTCAAGTTAGTGGAACTTTAATCATTCGAGAAGCTCGTGTTGAAGATTCTGGAAAATACCTTTGCATTGTAAATAATTCCGTTGGTGGTGAGAGTGTTGAAACAGTTCTGACTGTAACCGCACCTCTGGGGGCTGAAATAGAACCAAGAACTCAGACTGTTGACTTTGGTAGACCTGCTACTTTCACTTGCAATGTACGAGGAAACCCTATTAAAACAATCTCATGGTTAAAGGATGGCAAACCTCTTGGACACGAAGACCCCGTACTCAAGATTGATAGCGTGAAGAAAGAAGATAAGGGAATGTATCAATGCTTCGTTCGAAATGATCAGGAAAGTGCTCAAGCAACTGCTGAATTAAAACTAGGAGGAAGATGTAAGTAACTTTTGAAATTGAAAACAGACTCTATTTAAACTATGGTATTGATATTTTTACTAAAAAACTTTGCTTTGTCATTCACAGTTGAACCACCACAAATTAAACAAGCTTTTGCTGAAGAAACACTACAACCTGGACCAAGTATGTTTTTGCAATGTGTGGCTAGTGGAAATCCAACTCCTGAAATCACATGGGAACTTGATGGCAAACGACTCTCAAATACTGAAAGACTACAAGTTGGACAATATGTTAGTGTTCATGGCGATGTTGTTTCACATTTAAATATTTCTAGCATTCATACTAATGATGGAGGACTCTACAAATGTATCGCAGCTTCTAAGGTATAATATTGATTGAAAATTATTTCTTGTTATTAGTTTCTTATCTTTAGTAAGCATACAAAACCGATTGAATTTTTAGTTTGATTCATTAATTAAAATAGTTCTTAATATATCAGTATCAACATTTGTTAGCTTAATTGGAAATTGAATTTAATCGGAGATGGAAAATTAATTGTGGAATAAGTTGACAATACTGTGGAGTAATTGCTCATGACCACTAAAATTATTGAATTGAGTATTAAATAACTCTAGTGAATAAAATATTGGTATTTCATAAGCTCTTCAAGGGAAAGTAAATTGTCAATATTTTTATGACTATAAATCTTTCTGATGAATTTACATGAACATATAATGAATGGGATATTTGAGTATTTAATTAATATGATAACATGTGATTATTATAAAAGTCAAAGTAAGTGAACCAATAATTTCATGCAGTTCAGAAGCATCAAAGCATTTTGATGTATAGATTCACTTTCGTTAATTAAATCACTTGAACTCATGCAAACATATTCTATTTAATATTTAAATATTTAAAAATAGAATTTTTCATTAGATATATCATACTTGTATTGATTTATGGATTAGAATATTTTTTTTAGTACGATATTAAAAAGGTCAAGACATTCTAGGTTCAATAGCAAGAAAGAATTAAAAAAAAAAATTTTTTTTAGCGTTTAATAAAAAAGAATATCCGTATTGATTCTTTTAATCTTCAAAGGTGGGATCAGCTGAGCATTCAGCACGTCTCAATGTTTATGGACTCCCTTTCATCCGTCACATGGACAAAAAAGCAATCGTAGCAGGAGAAACCCTTCGTGTCACATGTCCAGTTGCTGGCTATCCGATTGAAAGCATCGTTTGGGAACGAGACACACGTGTTCTACCAATCAACAGGAAACAAAAAGTATTCCCCAACGGAACTCTTATTATTGAGAATGTAGAGAGACATAGTGATCAAGCAACTTACACATGCGTTGCACGCAATGCTCAAGGATACAGTGCAAGAGGAACACTTGAAGTTCAAGTTATGGGTAAGTTTAAAAATAATCATTACTTTCTATTTTATATCTGAAAATTTTTTTGCGTTCAATACTGATATTAATTATCGGTGACTTACTTTTAACTTGTTTACATGTGCAGATAAACAAGCTCATTATGAAATTCATTGACCTTAAAATTCTAATCTTTGTAATCAAATTAAATATTTTATCTTATTTCGAAATTTAAGATAAAAGAATAAGAATCGAATTGATGATTTTTATTTAAATAATATGTTTTAATGCTAAATTTATTATCAAATATTTAAATAATAGAAAAAGATAGAGTATTCCTTGTGGACATAAATATTTTTCTGTAATATTTAATAAAAGTCTAAATGTGATTTATATGAACTTATTAAAGTCAACATATTTCAGCACACACGTAAAAAGATTTTCATGATATCTATAATTTATATATCATTTAATCGTTCAATTCCATGTCAGTTAGATGACAAGTAAGAATATGAGTACACTAAAATTCAACCCAACAACATTTTCTGTCAAATATAATTGTGTACATGGCTACAAGCCATATGGCAAGCGGAGCACGTCGTGGTAAAATTTCTAACCAAATAATAAAATCTGTACTGAAATCCACAGACTTAACACGAATGTCATAGAAAGTGGTCTTGAAAAATTTATTAGAATTGATGAAATTTTCATCAACGAGTAGATAAAATAAAACAAAAATATCCAACTAGTTATATTCAACTTGTCATCTAGCACAATAGTAATAAATCATAATAATAAAAAATTATTTTCAGTGAAAAATTTATAAATGGATTCTAATTTAGATAAAACTACTATTTCCGTAATAGATATTATGTAATAATTATTCCTACAGCAATCATCTGAGTAATTAAATTCAGAATACTAAGTACTTAAGTTGATTTCCATTAATACACTCTAGTGTAAGTTATAAAATGGGTAGTGTGCAGTGATTGTGTGCAGCTACAGAGTGGCAGGTGGGCAGAGATTCTCGTAGCACCTGTCTCATGGTTAAGAGGCTGCTTTCCTTTCTTCGTCCCTCGTCCGTATACCTGGGAGCAGCTGTACCATATACTATTGCAGATTCAAGGAATCACAGACAACTCGCGAGTCTCGAAGGCTTCGGAATGCGAACAAAACTCAATACATTCGTTTCACTACTCTAGATTCATTTAATTAGAATATTTAATTGCTTTCTTCAGGGATGCAAAGCTTTTAATTAATTCAATTCAAACTTCATTAATGTAAAACTAGCTTCTCATTCACATACTATTTAATATTCAACTGGTTTTTAAAAATAAAACCTAAAAATAATTATGATTGGACAATAAATAGCAATCGTTTATCAATAATTAAAGTGTGTTGATGAATGTTGTTGATGTTCTAGAAATAATTACTGAATAATTCCATACTTGAATTGAAAAACTAAATTGCATTCTTGATGAAAGGAATGTAAATATGTTGATTAATACATTCGTGACGTTGCATATGATTGCTTTAGTGCCACCTACGGTGCAGGATTTTGCATTCACAAAGCTTCCAATGAACGCTGGCGAGTTCGCGAATCTTCAATGCATTGTGCCGACAGGCGACTTGCCTTTGACCATACGCTGGAGTTATCCTGGCGAAGAAATGGGTGGTTCTTCCGGTGTGATCGCGAAGAAAGTTGCGGACCGTGTTAGCATGTTAATGATACCTGCTATTACCGCGAAACATGCGGGTGAATTCGTTTGCACGGCCGAGAATCCAGCAGGAAAATCTTCGTTCTCGACCACTCTTACTGTCAACGGTTCTCGAATTCATCTAGACTTCTTATTTATTTACTTGATTTTGCTTTTTGATAAATCTTCATTAGTTATTCCATTCAAGTTTGCTTGTTGTCCATTTTTTTGCACGATTTTATTATTTTGAGTTGGCTAAAATCATTTTATAGTAAATCATCAAATGATGAAGACGTTTAGTTAGATCAATTTCTCCTTTTTCTTCCTCTTCTTTTTATTCCTAAATCTTCGGTTCAATTGGTACTCGATACTTCCAATGATCATGCGAAGTGATAGAGTGAGAATTAGTTGGTACATTAACATACATGTGCACAATTGTCTTCACAGTCGCACCTCAAGTACTTCAGTTCTCATTTGGTGATGATCCTCTCAACTCTGGAGAAATGCTCTCTATATCCTGTACAATCATCAAAGGAGATCAACCTGTCAACTTCACGTGGACCTTCAATGATCAACCAATTTTAGACTACGATAGTGATGACATTAAAATCGTGAATAATAAAAGATTCAGCTTTTTGAGCATCGACAGTGTATCTGCAAGACATGCTGGAAGATATAAATGCACTGCATCTAACGCGGCCGGATATCATAGTCATACTGCTGTTCTCGCGGTTAATGGTAGATTGAACGTGAACACAATGATTATTTGAAGTGTTTTGATACTCTCGTGCTATTGTATTTTATTTTCTTCTTCTCACTTACTATTATATCAAATATTTATTTTTATTGATTATTGTGTCATGCAGGTCTATTCAAATGATCGATTTTATGAATACTCAAACATTATAAGACATCGATTGAATATTGTAATCAACTTTTAATTAAATCATTAGAATATTTTTTTGAATTATAATGATCAATTTATTTAGTTTAAATGAACTTTAAATTATTATTGATCAATTCAGTAGTTTATCAAAAAAAAGAATAAAATATGACATAGAGTCTCATATAATCGTAAAATGTGTAGACTTGTCCACAATATTCATTTTTGCTTTTTATTATTCATCATTTCTTTTTTGAATTAGCATGAAAACGATGACAGTACTTCTTCCTGTAAATCTTTCAGTGTATTATGTGGTCGTCCAAGGACAGTAAAGCTATCTTAATCTCATAAAAACAATTATTCACAGTTTACCACTGATGTAAACTCTGTCGTCTAAATGCTTTACAAGCACGAGATGTTTCAACTTGACGAGAACTATCTCACTAGCTTTGTAATGAGTATTATAAATATAATCGCTTCGTAAATTTAATTGAAACCTATTACTCCTACTGCAGTATACTTGATTTCCTCAAATATTCCAACACAACTTCCAATATCGAACAAATATTACAGTGGCACCACAAATAGCTCCGTTTACATTCGGTGAAGAAGCAGCTAATGCTGGAGACATGGCAACTGTCCAATGTGCAGTAATAAAAGGCGATTTGCCTATAGACATCGTCTGGTCGTTGAATGCTGTACCAATAGGAAATGATACCACAGTAAGTGAAAATATGCAGTATCGAGACATCGTGGTAAGGAAGAGTGGCCAGAGAGCTAGTACATTGACGATTGAATCAGTAGCAGCGCGTCATGCAGGAATTTACTCTTGTAGTGCAAGCAACAGAGCTGGATCTACTTCTCACTCGGCAGACTTGTCAGTGAATGGTATGAGTGTTCATCAACACTGACAAGAAACTTACTTGTTTGCATGACGCGTCATGTATTTTACATATTTAGAAAGAAGCTGAAAGTATAATCGTTGGACGATTCTCGTTGGTGATGCATGTGTTGATTATCGACTTTCAGTAGGCGTTTCTTCCCCTTCCATCAATTTTATTACACATGAGTGACTAGTGGTCGAGCACGTTTGTCACATCAATGTCGTGTAGGTGGCACTGAATCTCTTTTATCAATTTATCAAGTTGACTATTGGTTCGGGAATTTCCCCTTTGTACTTTTGTTGCATTTCATTCACTGCATTCATTTAAAATTTAATTTCTTGCTTATCAAACAGTTCCACCGCGAATCGCACCATTTGAGATGGCAGAGAAACCTGTCAACTGGGGTGAATCTGTTTCTGCTGTTTGTACTATTGTTAGTGGTGACGCTCCATTAGAAATATCTTGGGCTCTTAATGGCATACCTATTACTGATGATAATTCTGATATTTCTATCACCACCACTAAGCGAAACAGTCTCATATCGATTGATTCCGCAAGCCCTAGACACGCTGGAGAGTACACGTGTGTGGCTACAAATGCAGCTGGTGGCACGAGTTATTCAACAGTACTTACTGTTAATGGTAGAGAAAATGTTGATTGTTTTTATTCTATTTATTTCCATTTCTATTCTTTTTCATTACTCCTATCCTATTTTTCATTCCTCCACGTTATTTAGGCTTTCATGAATCAACTAGAAGATGACCATAAAAAACATAAATAATGTATTTTCATTATTGATCGGCCGTGCATCGGGTATAAAATTCAGATTAATTATTTGTGTCTAAATTCAATCATTTAAATGTCTTATAGTTGCTCCACAAATTGCACCTTTTACGATGGCTGATGGCCCGGTAAATTGGGGCGAGTCAATAAGTGTTCCATGTTCAATACTGAAAGGCGATTTACCAATTGAAATTTCGTGGGCTCTTAATGGTGAACCAATTCGTCGTGATCGTACTGATATAAATATAGTAGCAACGACTAGAAAGAATAGTATTCTCAGTATCGATTCAGTCGCGGCGGGTCATGCGGGTGAATATACATGTTCAGCATCCAACGTTGCTGGTGCCACTAGTCAATCTGCAACATTAAGTGTTAATGGTACGTGTTCTCAATCTCGTATCATCTTTGATGTCTCCTTTGACTCTTCCTCTATTCCTATAAAGCAGCCTTTGAGATAGCCGACTCTGAAGAAGACGATGTTGATAGTAGTGGTGAATCGATAATTATGTTTTTTTTATTCTCAACTTTGATAGTCATTTGAATATTCCTTCCACTAGTTGCGCCACAGATTGTACCCTTTGTGATGGGTGATGAGCCAGCGAATTGGGGTGATGCAGTCACAGCAACTTGTACTGTTTCTAAAGGCGATTTTCCCATTAGTATCGAGTGGTCTCTGAATGGTCAGCAAATAACTCAAAATCATCCTGGTATTACTATCAGTGCAAATAGCAAACGTGTCAGTGTATTGACTATTGATGCAGTATCAGCAAGTCATGCTGGAGAATATACCTGTGGTGCCAGTAATGCTGCTGGTGGAACGAGTTATTCGGCATCATTGATAGTGAATGGTATTCATCTTAAAAATCGTTGAATGTTTGGACTATCTACGAATCATATCCCTAATCCTCCTTGATCAATTATTTGCTGAGACATCATTGATTTAGTTTATTACTTTATATATTCCTAGTTGCACCTCAAATAGTACCTTTCGTGATGGGAGAAGAACCTGCTAATTGGGGTGATGCAGTCACGGCTACGTGTACTGTTTTTAAAGGCGACTTTCCGATAGAGCTCGAATGGTTTCATAATGGTCAACGTATCGCTAAAAATCACCCGGGCATAACAATTAGTACAACGAAACGCGTAAGCTTATTAACAATCGATGCAGTATCGGCGAGTCATGCGGGCGAGTATACGTGCAGTGCTAGTAATGCTGCTGGAGGAACAAGTTACTCAGCTGCTCTAGCAGTTAATGGTATAAGTTTTATTGAAAACGTTTTATGTATCATGTATTAGGTTATCTACGAAACGTTTGATCCTTGACCTTCCTTTAACTATTGAACTAGCATTTAACCGATTAAATATACGAATTCGTTTATTCCTAGTCGCGCCACAAATAGCTCCATTCGTGATGGGAGACGAGCCAGCTAACTGGGGAGATACCGTAACAGCAACTTGTACTGTAATAAAAGGCGATCGACCAATTAGTATTGAATGGGCTTTAAACAATGAACCAATTTCTCATCTAAATCATCCAGATATAATGATTAATACAGGCAAAAGTGTCAGTCTTTTAACAATTGATGCTGTGACTGCGAGTCATGCTGGAGAATATACATGTTCAGCTAGTAATGCAGCTGGAGGAACGAGCTTTACTGCATCATTGGCTGTCAATGGTATAAAAATCAAATATTGGTGGTTATTATTTTAAAACTTACCTGAATTTAGAACTAATTTACGACGATATCTACGATATTTTTATTCTTTTTCCCAACGCAATTAATGTCATACAGATAAACGAGTTGTTTGTGCTATGTTAGTTTCTTTATCAATCTATTTTCATATTCTTCACAGTTCGTCCAGAAATAGCTCCTTTTGATTTTGGTGATGAACCTGCGAATTGGGGAGAAACAGTAACAGCAACATGTACTGTAATTAAAGGAGATTATCCTATTTCGGTAGAGTGGTCATTGAATGGCGAACCAATTTCTTTCAATAATCCAGATATTACAGTAGTCAGTACTAGTAAACGCGTGAGCGTTTTAACAATTGATGCAGTTTCGGCACGCCATGCTGGAGAATATACTTGTTCAGCTAGCAATCTTGCGGGTGGAACAAGTTTTACAGCATCACTGGCTGTGAATGGTACAATTTTGGTGTTACATACCATAGAATTGTTATTAGGCTTGGGTTATTAAATCAAATTATATCTACGAAATGATCCATCAATCAATCCTTATTTGTTTATCCATTTTATTTTCAATCCTATTCACAGTCGCTCCAGAAATAGCTCCCTTTGATTTCGGTGATAAACCATCCAATGCTGGTGATACAGTAACTGCACCATGCACTGTCTTGAAGGGTGATTTTCCTATTGACATTCAGTGGGCTTTTAATGGCGAACCTATTGGACAAGATAATTCTGATATTACTGTAGTTAGCACAAGTAAACGAGTCAGTTTATTAACTATTGATGGAGTATCAGCAAGGCACTCTGGAGAATACACTTGTACTGCTAGCAATGCTGCTGGGGGAACAAGCTATTCATCGTCCTTGGCCGTCAATGGTACGAGAAGGAAATGATGTTTGGTTTGAAATTATTTATAAACATTGCGAGACGTATCCTACATTCTTTTTATCACTCAATATATTGATCCTCTTGTCAACTGACCTCCTTTCAATTGCCACTTTAAATCAGGTTAATTAAATATCATTAACTATTTAAATCGAAACCGAAACTAGGAACTTTTCGTCTTTTAGTCCCTCCACAGATAGGAACAATTTCATTCACTGATACTCCAGCTAATTCCGGGGAACCTAATTCGGCAACTTGTACGGTTTTGAAGGGTGATTACCCAATGAAAATAGTGTGGCAGCATAACGGTCAACCAATCGGTCATGATCAAACGGATATCATAATAAATAAAATCAGTAGGCATATGAGTGTCATCAGCATAGAGTCAGTTGCAGCAAGGCACGCTGGAGAATACACTTGTAAAGCGACAAATAGAGCCGGTTCTGCAAGTCAAACAGCAACTTTAGTTGTGAATGGTATGTGCTCGGAAATGGTCTCTCGAGTACTCGAAGATCGCTTTGAGAAATGAAATCTGCTTGTTTTTTTTTTACATCATACATGATTGTGTCTGTAACCATGCAAAATAGTACCTCTGCTTTAATTCCCGCTTGTACCTCTCATAATAGTAGTGAATCAAAAATCTTTTTTAAAATGTATGTAAAACGTGTGAGTGACAGGTGAATTCATTATCTTCGAACCAATAGTTTCTCCCCAGATTGCACCTTTTATTATCAGCGAAGAACCTGCTAATTGGGGAGACACAATCACAGCAACATGTACAGTGTTGAAAGGTGACTCTCCCATTGAACTTGAATGGTCACTCAATGGCGAGCCAATAACACGAGAACATTCAGATATAACAATTGTTAATACAAGCAAACGAGTAAGCCTGTTGACAATTGAAGCTGTTACGGCTCGTCATGCTGGAGAATACACTTGCAGTGCCAGCAATCGTGCCGGTGGGACCAGTTATTCTGCACCTCTTGCAGTTAATGGTACATCATCAGAAGTATCCAGATTGGTAGCCTCTTGGAGACGTGCACTCATTTCTTCCTCAAGTCCATTCCTTTATAATAACTCCATCTGTTTATTATAACTATTCGTTAAATTCCTACACTACTCTTTTAGTCACGCCACAAATAGCTCCATTTTCAATGAGTGATGGTCCAGCAAACTGGGGTGATATGATATCGGCAACTTGTTCCATCGTAAAAGGAGACTTTCCAGTGGAAATTCAGTGGCGTCATAATGGCAATCCAATAGATGCAAATAATCCTGATATCGCGATAACGAGAATCAATAAGCATATGAGTGCTATCAGCATAGAATCAGTCGCGGCAAGACATGCGGGTGAATACACTTGTAGTGCTACCAACCGAGCAGGCAACGTCAGTCATTCGACAACTTTAGCGGTTAATGGTATCAGAATCATACCTTTTATTTCTTCGTTTGTCAATAACGCGTGTCTAACATTTGTCAATTTAAAAAACAATGCACGTATCATTGTTATTGCACTTTTGTGTTTAACCGCTAATTTTCCTAATCCTCATTTCTTTAATAAATCTTTTTATTTTTAGGTAAATTTTATAACTGCCAAATTTCATTTAATTAAGCTCTTGTTTATCCATTTAGTAACGTGCGTTATGCCATATTATTAGTTGTCCCGCAGATCCTTCCATTTTCATTTGGTGATGAGCCTTCGAACTCGGGAGATGCAGTTTCGGTGATGTGCTCAATATCCAAAGGTGATTTTCCGTTAGAGATCACCTGGGCATTCAACAGTGAAATATTAACCCCACACCGTCCAGATATTACCATCTCTAGTGGTAAACGACACAGCACGTTGACGATCGATTCAATAGCTGCAAGACATTCCGGCGAATATACTTGTACCGCATCAAATAGCGCTGGAGCTACAAGTCACACTGCTGTTCTCACTGTCAATGGTACTAAGTTATACAACTTAAGTACTTATCGTTCATGCGTGTGTCCCATCTAAAGCTATCCAACCTCATCCCCAAGATATCAATCATCCTTTTGTAGAAGTCGTGATGATAGTTTTTCGATTTAGCATCAACAATTTCGTAGGATTGATGATAATTGATGAAGTGCTGATTAGCTTTTTACCTTCACTATCCAACATGTTGGTTTTTATTTTCATATACAGTCGCCCCACAGATCCTACCCTTGAGTTTTGGTGATGAGCCTGTTAATGCTGGAGATTTAGCATCAATTCAATGCGCGGTGAGTAAAGGCGATTTTCCACTGGAGATAACCTGGATGTTTCAAGGACGTCCTATTGGACCTGAACGATCAGATATTACCATAACCGATTCGGGAAAGCGCGTGAAGCAATTGACTATTGATGCTGTAGCAGCAAGACATGCTGGTGAATATACTTGTATCGCGTCCAACGGTGCCGGCAGCAGTTCACATTCAGCAATCTTGGATGTTAATGGTATTTAAAAATTCGCGTTCGTGGTTTTTTTCTACTCCATAACATTAGCTCTATTTTCCCTCATATTCCCTCACCAAGTGCCTTTGATTATTTTATAAACATACAGATAGAAGGTATAACATGTCGATAGTATTTTCAGAACCGATTGGAAATTGTTTATAAAAAGTCACAGCATACGCGAATTTTTGGCTATTTTGTTTAATTGCAGTTACTCCAAAATTATTACCGTTCTCATTTGGCGAGGAGCCTCTTAACTCAGGTCAAGTAGTGACGGTACCATGTGCAGTGATTGAAGGTGATCCACCTTTGAAGCTTCAATGGAAGTTAAACAATCATACAATATCGCCTCACTCAGGAATATCTATATTGGATCTCGGTGGAAGAGGTGCCATACTGAGCATAGGATCAGTCCAAGCAGCCCATGCTGGAACTTTTACTTGTATCGCGGAAAATCTTGCTGGAAGGCATGAACTTTCCGCCGATCTGATAGTTAATGGTGTGCTTATTATCACGCTTCCGTTGATTCCTCATTTATTTATAAATATCATATCATCATTCAGTTTATTTTCAAGACACTTATTATTTAGTTTCTATTACTGTAATTATCAATTATTTCTTTCCTTTCCAACCATCAGCAGCTTTTAAATCTTCCTTTCAACGATTTATCTTTGGATAAACAATTAAAATAGTCATTCTATGAATTTATCAATGGAATTAAAAATAATGTTTGTAGTTGCTCCGCATCTTCAACCTTTTAATTTCGATGAGACCAACTCCGGGGACCTGATAATCGTTCAGTGCGCGGCGGTAAAAGGGGATACACCAATATCCCTAAAGTGGTTATTCGAAGGACGTCATTTAGAAGTAGGTGAAGGTGTCAAAATCACCTCACTGGGTGATCGAGTGTCTGCCTTAACGATTCCAGCTGTAAGGGGAGAACATGCTGGAGAGTATGCTTGTGTCGCTGACAATCCGGCCGGTCGTGCTAGACACAGTGCTCATCTTAAAGTCAACGGTATTTAGTAATAAACTCGCGACTTTGTTAATGATAATGCATTGGATTCTTAAATAATTACAAAAACATGATTGAAATCAGGACTTATATATTGCATCGAGTATCCCAATTACTTTATTGTCAGTGTACTTGAATATTGATCAGTGTATTTATTGGTGTCTTTATTACAAATCGGTAGGATTTAATGATATGCTTGTAAACGCGACAATAAACTACTTGTAGTTTTATATAAAGATAACTTGGCTTAAAAATATAATCGTAATAAATGATCATGTCCAGTATAGTCTAGTTCTGGTGCAATTAAAAATCGGGTTAATAAAAAATGTAATTACACCATTTGAATTAAAGTATTTTTTATGCAAAAATGCTACGTCGTAATGATTTTTCCAAAAAAAAGCTAGACTGCCCAAATTTTTTCAAATTACGATCTAGTTTTTGAGATGTTTAATCTCAAACATCATGATTCATTATGCTTTTTTTGCCTAGAAATGATTGTTTTGAAATTAGAGTATTTTTTTACATTAAAAATTCCTCAATTCAAATGGTGTAAATTTATTTTTTATTGACCCGATTTTTAATCGCACCAAAACTAGACTAGTATTAATGTAAAAAAATTCTTTTTGCTAGATCAGTAGATTAAAGGGACGTCCAAGCGTCCTAACTCCTGATTCCGCCAACAGATTCCTAAACAGTTTCAACATAAATACAATACAAGATAATAATAGTTATCAATAAAGTGACCAAACATCAGAAGAAGAATGTGTATTTATGACAATAAAAATATCCATAAAGGTATTCTGCATTATATTAAAAATTGCAGTCTTACCTCGAATCAATCCGTTTGACTTTGGAGACCAGCCGATTTATGATGGCCAAGCAGCTCAGTTGGCGTGTATGGTTCCGGTTGGAGACACACCAATAAATATCACTTGGACTCTTGATGGGAAACCATTGTCTCCATCTTTACCACACACCATTGGAAAGCTCGGGCCACGCACTAGCATTCTACAGATTGAACCCGTGACGTCGCGACATGCTGGCACTTATGCTTGTGTTGCCTCTAATCCCTCGGGAAAAGTGATCCACGAGGCAACATTACGTGTTCATGGTTAGGGCGAAACAAGAAAAAATATATGATGATCGAATGAGAGATTCCCAAATGAAAATAAGCTTCTTTTTCGTCTGCATCGTACATTGAAGCTTTCTGGACCTGATTAAAGCTGTAAAACATTCCGCTTGATAAATTAACACTAAAAAATGACTGAAAGCATCACTAAGGTGATTTAGTAATATTTCAATGGCTCATTGAGGATTTAAATATTTATAAACCAATCGACATGTCTATTTATGCGTCTGTTCATTCCCTGGCTGAGTGCAAAGCTGTATATCGTTAATTTTGCCTTCATTACCCCTTACTTGGGACGATACCCTTTATTATCATTGCTAATGAATTCTTGTCATGTCGCAGTTTTCCCTATTAATTTTCGCCTCGTCTATTTGTCCTGCCTTCTTGTTCTATATTTTACACATCTTTCTTTGTCTCCGTATTTTCCCAGAGGAAAGGCCTGGCACAAGCTACGAAACCCATGGCTTTTCGCGACGAATATGATTATAAACCTACGTGTAAGGTATTTTATGTATTAGCAATGATGAATAATCAGCTTCTTCATGTTTTTCTTGACATGGCTGATAAAAATAACATCGTAGAGAATAGATATCGTATTTCATCAGATCATCAATGATCACTAGATATCTTAATCATTGTACAAAAAGGTTCATTCTGTCTTCAATCCTCTACATTTCTTTAGTTAGGCTCATTTTTCATATGCTAGTAATTACATCGTGTTTACTAGCGTGCCATTGCTTGTGCATAAGAATTTTAAAAGAAATGAAAACGCTCGTTTATTAGGCTTACGGCCGATTACTGCGCTTCTCGTCGTCATTCGCGGAGTCGATTCATCCCTAAATCCTTGCCACTTATCGTTCCCTCTATCCTTTTCAACATACATTACACTTCCTCATCAGCCCTCACCTCTACCTCACCACACGTCTCATCTTTTCGTTTCGTAGATACCTGTCGTAAATTGCATGCTCTTTTCATTAACATATACATCCTTGCGGTGATGCATGAACACCGTCTCCACGAGTACCAACCAACTTTCAATTTATGCATGCATTAGGCTCACTCTGAGCAGTAAAGCATTCTTTCTGCAGTATAAAAATATTTTATTATCATTTATTCAATGGGTACTCGCTGGTTTACTCAGTAACTTATTGCATGTCAGCAAAATTTTGTAGCAAAAACAGAAACGCTTTGTATGTGCATGCAAAAAATCATAGGAGTTAAACGCAATCTCAATCGTCTGGTTGTTAATTCTAGCAAATTAAAATATGTTATAATTCACTCATTCAACAAATCTCTTGATAAATATTTAGCAATGACAAAAAAATTATCTTTAAAAGTCTATTTTAACAATTATTTGATTACATAAAAAAAAGTTTAAACTAAATTAATTATTCATTAAGATAAATTTGAACAAAATATGATATTATTTATAAAAAAGCTAAAGATCGGGTTTAATTTTAAATGATGATAATGACCAGAGGATTGTAAGTCGACTCCAAACATATTTGAAATTGTTTTTCAACGAAATGTTTGGTCTCGAATAATTGCGAGATGACTCGAATGTTGGTAGTGTTTTTAAAAGAGAGAAAAAAGTTGCAAAACCTAACGTATTGTCCTCTGAAACAGTGCCACCACGTTGGATTCTTGAACCGACTGATAAAGCATTTGCTCAAGGCTCAGACGCTCGAGTTGAATGTAAAGCCGACGGATTTCCTAAGCCTCAAGTCACATGGAAGAGGGCTGCTGGTAAGTTTCTACTTAATAAAAAATTTTTCTCTCTAGATTGAAGATGATTATTAAATAATTATTCATTTATTTTGCAGGAGATACACCCGGCGACTATACTGACTTAAAGCTCAATAATCCTGACATCAATGTAGAAGATGGAACTTTATCGATTAATAACATTCAGAAAACCAATGAAGGTTACTATCTCTGCGAAGCCGTCAATGGAATCGGTTCCGGATTGTCAGCTGTCATTCTGATCTCAGTTCAAGGTGAAATATAGTTCGTTAATTTACAATACATATGATGGAAAATCCAATCATTGCAAACGTTATAATATAGTATCTGCCAATAATTGATTTGTTCAATTATTAACTTTTCTGTCATCATACTATTTGAAGAATACTTTTTCTATTACCATTAAACCAACTTATAATCTAATATTTGCAAAGAGTATTCGAATTTAATTTTTTGTTTTAAAATATCTCTCAATTAAAAATATCTCATCAATAAAGTTTATCTTATGTTTTGAAATATAAGAAAGTAATATCTTCAAAGTGAAATTTGATGGTCATGTATTTAATTCTTTGAAGCAATCGACAGCATAATTTAATAATTGCAATGGTGAATCCTTTCAGCACCCCCACACTTTGATATCAAGTTACGTAACCAAACTGCTCGACGAGGTGAACCAGCTGTATTGCAATGTGAAGCACAAGGAGAAAAGCCTATTGGTATTGTCTGGAACATGAATAACAAGAGATTAGATCCTAAAAGTGATTCTCGTTACACAATCCGTGAAGAAATTCTTGCCAATGGTGTCTTGGCTGATTTAAGTATCAAACGAACTGAGAGAAGCGATTCGGCATTATTTACATGTGTTGCTACAAATGCATTTGGAAGTGATGACACTAGTATTAACATGATTGTTCAAGGTATGTAATAAGGGATATGAAAATTTTTTTAATTGATTTAGTAAATAAAATAGATTTATCATCTAATAATAATTTTTATTTACAGAGGTTCCTGAGGTGCCATATGGTTTGAAAGTGTTGGATAAATCTGGACGAACAGTACAACTCTCTTGGGCAGCTCCATATGACGGAAATAGTCCAATCAAACGATACCTTATTGAATATAAAATGAGCAAAGGATCCTGGGAAGCTGATATTGATCGAGTTATTGTTCCTGCTACTCAACAAAATGTTGCTGGTGTATTTAATCTAAGACCTGCTACTACTTATCACTTACGTATTGTAGCTGAGAATGAAATTGGTACTTCTGATCCATCTGATACCGTCACCATTATTACTGCTGAAGAAGCTCCCTCAGGTCCACCAAGCTCTGTTCGTGTTGATGCTCTTGACCAACATACCCTCAAAGTATGTAGAATATTTTTTATTTATTCTATCGAATAAGCAGAAAATAAATCTTGATAGAATTTTTGAATAATTAATTTTCGATTTTTCAGGTAACATGGAAACCACCCCCACGTGAAGATTGGAATGGAGAAATCCTTGGATACTATGTTGGCTACAGACTCTCTTCATCTGACAAACCTTACATGTTTGAAACGGTCGAATTCTCAAAAGAAGATGGAAAGGAACATCATTTACAAATTATGAATCTAAAAACCTATACTCAATACAGCGTAGTTGTTCAAGCATTCAATAAAGTAGGATCTGGACCAATGAGTGAAGAGCGTAGGCAACATACTGCTGAAGGAGTTCCTGAACAACCACCACATGACACTACTTGCACTACATTGACGTCAGATTCTATTAGAGTTTCTTGGGTATCACCACCATTGACTGCTGCTAATGGAGTTATTACTGGATACAAAGTAAGGAATCGAATAATCAATAATTACGGTAGTTTGAAAAATAAAAATCATAAGATATTTTGTAAACTCATTTAAAATACTAATCTACTTAAATTACTTTTTAATTTATTTTATGACTAATTATTTAGCTTTTTAAAACAAATTATGAAGTTTTTATAGAATAAATAATTATAAATTATAATGTTTCAGGTTATTTATGGACCTTCTGAAACTTGGTATGACGAAAACACAAAGGATACCAAAATTACATCATCAAGCGAAACTATTTTACCACAATTGAAAAAATATACCAACTACAGTATGCAAGTTCTGGCATATACTTCTGGTGGTGATGGCGTGAAATCTGCACCTATTCATTGTCAAACTGAGCAAGATGCCCCTGAAGCTCCAGTTGCTATTAAAGCCCTTGTCATGTCCCCTGAATCTATTCTTGTTTCTTGGAGACCACCAACTCAACCTAATGGAGTTATTTCTCAATACACTGTTTATACTAAAGCCGATAATGTTGATGAACCTTTGAGTGCAAAAGTCCCACCAAATCAATTGACTTATGAGGCTTCTGGATTAGATAAACAACGCCGATACGAATTTTGGGTTACTGCCAGCACAAACATTGGAGAGGGACAAGCTTCCAAAATTGTAACTCTATCTCCAAATATTCGAGGTAAATAATTAATTAATTAAAAATTAAATAATCATGTTTATTCGTAATTAATGGAATAAATATACAATTATTTACGTTATAGTTCCAGCAAAAATTGCTTCATTTGATGACAAGTTTACTGCAACATACAAAGAAGATGTCAAATTACCTTGCCTTGCTGTTGGTGTACCCGCTCCAGAAGTTACATGGAAAGTACGCGATGCTACTCTTCAACCCAGTGACAGACTTAAACAATTGCCAGAAGGATCATTATTCATCAAAGAAGTAGATCGTGCTGACTCCGGCGAATATTCTTGTTATGTTGAAAACTCATTTGGTCATGATACAGTTACTCACCAATTGATTGTTCATGGTGAGTAATGATATTTTAGAGTTAAGATCAATGTCAAAATTCAATCAGTTTTATCACTAGAAGCTAGATTTTCTAATTGGCTAGTTTAAATGTCAATAGAATTTTGTTAGCATCATCAAATTTATTTAACTTAACAGAACTTAACAGAGAAATTTTGTTCATGTTATGTTTGATAGTCTTTGGCACTTTGATTGTATATTAAATTCTTTACGTTGCAGCTCCACCACACTCTCCCCAAGTCACTCTAACTGCTACAACGACCAATTCCTTGACAATGAAATTACGTCCACATCCAACAGACAACGCACCAATTCATGGCTATACAATTCACTACAAACCTGAGTTTGGAGATTGGGAAACAGTTCAAATAAGCTCTACTGCACAGAAATATACTCTTGAGAATTTGTGGTGTGGTTCAAGATATCAAATCTATGTCACTGCTTACAATGGGTAAATAAATAAAAATTGTTTCTTTATTAGATATTTATTTAATTATTCTTTTAATAAGAAAATATTAATCCGTGTTGTTAATTAAATAGAATTGGAACTGGAGATCCATCAGACATCCTTAATACTCGTACTAAAGGATCTAAACCAATTATCCCTGAAGCATCACGATTCATTGAAGTATCGACAAACAGCATCACTTTGCATTTGAACGCTTGGTCTGATGGTGGCTGTCCTATGCTATACTTTGTCGTCGAACATAAAAAGAAGTGAGCAAAAAATTAATTATATACTAAAATAGTAGTTAAGTAATTTATTTTCATCAATTGACGGTAAATTTAATTTTTTTAGGCATCAACAAGAATGGAATCAAGTCTCAAATAATGTTAAACCTGGTGGAAATTTCGTAGTTCTTGATCTCGACCCAGCAAACTGGTATCATTTAAGAGTAACAGCACACAACAATGCTGGATTTGCCGTTGCTGAATATGAATTCGCCACTTTGACAGTAACAGGCGGTGAGTTTCATCAACGGTTTCTAGAGCTGCATTTTGTTGCAGATCTGAAATCGTTCGCCGGTGCTAATGGTGACTGGGCGTAATGATGCTCAAAATTTTTTGTTCCAGGCACCATTGCACCGGCTCGCGAGCTTCCTGATGTTAACGGTGGCAGCAACGACGAGGATCCGATGAAAATTTTCATGGCAAATTTAAATCTGGTTGTTCCGGTAGTCGCGGCACTTCTCGTTATAATCGTTGCCGTTATCGTCATTTGTGTGCTAAAGGGCAAAGGCCATGGTTCCGGTGATAAAGGTGTGTAAATTATTATAATTATTTTTATTCAACAGGTACAATTGCACCTCCAGTTCGTAATAATGGCAACGAAAATGCTGACGTGAGACGGTACTTCCCCTGGCTTCCGGCTTGGTTGGACATAAATGTTGTGGTACCAGTCGGAGCTACGGTGGTTGTTATTATCGTCGGTATCGTCGTTATTTGTGTTGCTCTATCAAGAAGAACGCGAGGTCCTGAACAAACGCGGCTTCGAGGTATCCCATCAGCCGACGAGAAATATTATGAAGGCCAATGTATAAAAAACTTTTTTTTATACTACACATTTTACACAAATTTTTTTTAGTTATTAAGTTACAGTTACGACTAAAAATAATCGTATTAAAATTCAAATTTATTAGTCCATTTTAATCATCTTTGGAAATAAGATTAAATTAATTACGGTTATTTTTGGTCAATACTGTAAGTAAATTATAAGATTTAATAATAATAAAAATTCTTCTCTAGATGATGTTGTCTATCAACAAACTGGTGTAGTAAGCGCGACTTTGGATAAACGCAGACCTGATCTTAGAGATGAACTTGGATATATCGCTCCACCAAACCGTAAATTACCTCCAGTGCCCGGATCAAATTATAATACTTGTGATCGTATCAAGCGAGGTACAGTGATAAGTAAGCCATCATTACTAAAATCCCTAGCTCATCATTTTGACTTATTCATTTAGATGTTGTATCGATCGCACGATCGTTTTTAACGGTTTTTTGAATCAATCTATTTCTCAATAGAATGACGTGACCATGATAAATTTTTTAAAAATAATCTATTGTTGATTAGAATCATTCCAAACTTTTGTATATAATGCACATGATAAAGATATATGGCCATTGAAAATAATTATGAAGGATATGAGTAATCAGAGGTATAGTTGTTTTCCGCTAATATATGCCATTAAAATCTGGTTCTTATACACTAAGTTAGAATTTAGGTGCTTTGCCACCTTCATTTTGTTTGCTGTTTTTTCATTATCACAGCAATTCTTAATTGCATTGGCTACTTTATTTGTTTTTAAGCTTGCAAAGCCCTTTGTGTCCACCAAGAACAATGATTATCAATTTATCCAACTAATACACCAAGTGTTAAATTGATAAAAAAATTATCAACAGAGGATCAAAGTGTCAGCACAACAGGTGGACACAGTGGATCAACTCGGCGGAAAGCAACGAGATGATATGCTGTGTCTAAAAAAGAAACAATAATCCTGTGTTGGCACTTTGATTCTACTGTTATTTACAAGTCAATCGGTTTAAAAATGTCGTGTATTTAAACGGTGAATAAATAGTTTACTCCCCAACCATTTTGAAGCCTTGTCATGACAGATAAAGGTCTTAAAAAAGGTTTAAAAGAAGAGGATTTTTCAAAATTGTAAAAACTCTTTTAAAAAAACTTGGTAAACGCAAGTGGGTTATGACAGTCGTTGTGTAGCATATGTTGGTACAGGTGGATCAGGTTCATTTAGAAGTCATTCAACGTGGGATCCAAGAAGACACATGTACGAGGAGTTGTCACACTGTGCACCTAACAGAAGGTGTCCACCACCACCACGTATGGGCAGTACCGACGCATTATCGCACAGAGGTAGGTAATTCGTACTCGCGAATTAAGGTCACCGCATCGTCTTTAAGAGTGCAATCTAGAGTCTCGGATTCTCATAGAATACTTAAACTATCAATAACAATAGCGCCTGTATATAAATTGTATATATACATTTAAATATCGAGTTGAATCCCACTAACATTTCCTTATTTCTGAGAACTGTACTTTCATGACTGAAAAATAAGATGTAAAAAGCTGAGTATCGTGTTATTTCCTTTTAAAACTATTAGAATAAAGTCTGTAAAATGTAAGCTTTGAATTTTCAACTGATTATCTACTCGCTGACTGCTGTATCCTAATGTGAATCGGAGGAGATACAACATAAGTCGTAAGTCTTTAATGTTTTCCGGTGGTCATGTATCATAGTCACTTGTTGCACGTTCGCATGACCTATTCGTTAATTAAATATATACACTCGTATCATCTCCATTTCTCACGTTTATTTATAATCATAAATATGCCGTCTACTTTATTAATATCTTTATATCTATTGAGGTAGGTACTATCCTTAGATGATAGACTTTTATCAACTCTACAAATTTCTAGACCATTCGTGATACATTTATATAGTTATAACCTAATATTTTTTATTCAATGTATACGATACATATTGAAATATTTTTAGATCAATTAGGATTGATATAATCGCAGTATCTACCCGTATAAATCACATGATTTCAGGCATGGAAGATGAAATTTGTCCATACGCAACATTCCATTTACTTGGCTTCCGTGAAGAAATGGATCCCAGCAAAGCTATGCAATTCCAAACATTCCCACATCCCGCAAATGGACATTCTGGAACTATGGGACCACCAGCTGGACATCCTGCCAATGCTGCTCACAGTCGCTCTGGATCTCAATCTATGGTACGTGAAATAATTAATCTCTATTCACTCATTATAGACCTCATTCTATCTGGTTTAATTATTCTTCGTATTGATTTCCTATACAAACCTTATTAATTAAAAAAATTATTTTCTATTATCAATTTAATAAATGTACTTTTTTTTTAGCCACGACAAAACGGACGATACTCAAGAGTACCTTCTCAAGGCGGACAAACCGTATTTTCACCAGAATATGATGATCCTGCAAACTGTGCTCCTGAAGAAGACCAATACGGATCTCAGTATGGACAATATGGTGCTCCTTATGATCATTATGGATCTCGTGGTTCAGTAGGACGTCGTAGTGTTGGTTCCGCCCGTAATCTTCCAATTTCAAACTCACCTGAACCTCCACCACCACCACCAAGGAATCATGATCAAAATAACTCTAGTTTCAACGACAGCAAAGAAAGCAATGAAATTAGTGAAGCAGAATGTGATCGTGATCAACTACAAATGAACCGTAACTATGGAGGTGGGTAATGAAACTAATAAAAAAAGTTATCATCAATGTCATTCATATCAATATCATTCACTACCATTATTATTACATTTGTCTGTTCTGAGTTGACTTTCAGAGAAGCTGATGGACGTAAATAACGACATTTACTAACATTTATGTGTTTTTGGGCATGTTCAATGTGTGTTATTAAACAAAAAACAATCATCGATTATAAGATTGAATACATTTCAGGATATATACAAAATTTTCGTGAAGATTGAGAAGTCAGAGCAAAATAATTGAAACCTATTTAATGTCATTGTCATCACTTGCATGATTTTATCACTAAATCAATTCGAATCGACGAATCAATCGGTTGGTGTGCTTTTATATTTCAGTTAATGCTCGTGGCAAGGATGGTATGACCACCGAGGAGATGCGCAAACTTATCGAGAGGTCAGTAGCGCTCGAGAGGAAACCATTTATTCATACCAAGGAAACTTAACATTGATTTTGTTAGTTTCCTTGGACTCCTACAATCATATATAACTTCCAAGAATCGGCATATCTTGCAAAATTTTCCATATTATATTTAAAAATCATTTACTCACTAACCATTCATTTTACCATCTTCATCCAATTCTTCATACCATCAGTGACCATCGCATGATGAAGGCTGGAACTAATCCTGTATTATAATAATTGCTTGATTTCTTTTGTTTCATGACTTTTTTCTCAGGAATTCGTAAGTCTGCAAGTTGCACAAATAATGATGTTAAAACCATTCTTTCTGCTTAAACAATTTAATGTTTCCTTTTACAAAATTTAGGTTGTGGCTGAAGGATTAATTTTAAAAAAGGGTGAATGGGTGGAGGAATGTCAAAAAAATCGTGATTATTTTTATTAAAATAAATAATAGAAAGAAGAAAAATAATTTCTAATATTTTTTTGACTTTTCTCAACAATTGCATGCTAAAATAAATCATTATATTCTTGTATGAATTGTGATCAACTAATTGGCAAAGCAAATCATTCCAATCAGAACCTGTATACTTATTATTCAATGCTTATAATCATCAAGTCTGGTGCTGGGTGCTGATATTCATCTCATCAAAATGTTATCATCATTGTAGACTAGGATATTGCATTTAAAACTCATAAATCATCCTATACAAAGCTCTTTCTTTTCAAGAAAAGATATTTAATGAATTATCAATTGATTATTTGAAATTTTGTTACAGAAACGAAGCCACCAGTCGGCAAACCGGCTCCCCCCACGGGAGTCACGGGGGACTCCTCACACCCTACGATACTGTGGCAGTGTAATCTGTAAATCATCAACAACCAACCGACATGTCATTATTTTTTAATCATCTTTAATTAATTTTGTTATCAATAATTCTCGTCGCCAATAATGTAGAATGATGTCGGAAAGCAAGAAATTGCATTACAATATTTACCCCAGTGCTGATAGGCGTTGGTCCAATTGCAACGATTTACTATTTAAATCATACCTTTGCATCTCTGATAGATAGGTTCGATTATGATGTAAGAATTTATGTATTCTTATATAGCAACATTGGTGATTGGTATGATCTAAAGTCGAACATGATCACGAGTTTAAATTTGTAAAAAATTTTGAGCTTGTTGCTTTTAGCATGACATGGATCATTTTGGCGGACGGGAAATGTAGGAAAGTCAACATAGAAAAATAATTGATAACAATTAGACTCGTGGTCATGTTCAACTTGGATCGCCGGAGTTTTAGCGAGAAGGCATAGCCATTGTCTTCCGAATGAAAAGAAATGAAAGCTCGATAAACGTTGACCGATATGCGAGTCGTTGAAACGAAAAATTCGGAATTCATGGCTGTGATATTTTCGAAAATCCTACGTTAGGTTTAGAGTTACAAAATGCAGAATACAGACATTACAGTGATTAGTTGCTCTTTTATTAAGTCATGGTTGTGCCACACTGCCGCTTCATGAAGGCAAAGAGGATTTATGTTTTTTTTTCGTAACGAAGGTTGTGTCCCCTGAGAACGGATAAAGACGACTTTTAGAGTCGTTTACTTGAGAATTCACTAAAATTCAATCTGGGCGCCCATTATTATTATTAATATGAATAATAAATTAAACACAATTTTAGATAAACGTAGTAAAAAACAAATAAATTTAATCGTCGTCTCATTGCACATGTGATGTTCTTCCGTTGCATTAAAAAAGCTGTGCTTCAATGCCATTAAAAGTTAAAAATAAAATTAAAAACTACTTAATTTGTATTTCGGATGGATCTGACACTGTATTTATATTCTAATATGCTAATGAGAATTACTAATATTGATATTTCGAATAAAACATAGGGACGGCGATGCTTAAAGGGCGTAAGTGATTGAAATAATCGTTTTAATATTATCTATGATTAAACATAGACGGATGTAGAGTTCAATCATGAGGACGACTGGTCGCGAGAAAGTACTATTTTACTAAAGCGCAGTACGGCTTTAAAAATTCGACAAATTCAATGAAAAAAAAAATGATTACAAAATTTATGTTAAAAGTCGTGCAGAGATTAAGTACAATAGTACGAATCTCATAGTTCATTTTCATTATCAGATACTCGTTTTAGAATATGTAATAAAACATAACGTAGATTAGATCGCATTTATTTTGTTGCTAAAGAAAAAAAATGGGTCGGTTAAATAATTAACCGTTTGTGCGATGTTGATGACCCGAATGAATAGGAATGAGGAGAAATATTTTTTATTATATTCATTAATATTTTCTAAATGTCAAATGATTATGAAATAATACTATTTTTCATAATTAAAACTACATGCAAATTTGTATAATCGATCAGCATTGAAAACTATAAAATAAATAATTAAATCGTTGCTAAAGTATCTTTAAGTAATGATAAGCAATAAATTTTCATAAAAGTCTTGTATTTATTTTAGATGTATATTTTTAGTATTAATTAAATTTATCAAAAAAGATCATGAAACAATAGACAGTGACGATAATTAGCCATGAATTAAAATCAATGAAAATGATATTAAAAAATTTCACTGAGGCATTGAGATGATTTTAGCGACGACTTAATTATTAATAAAAAAATGATAATATTTAAAATTATGTGACATAAAAAAAAATTCTCGTTCCTTGATTCGATAGCACGTCGCACTATTACTCATCAATGTGATTTAAAGCTACGCCAGTTTTGTGTCTCGTGTATGTGTTACGATCGTACATCTCCAGATATTAGCCATCTCCTTATATTAATAACAATAATTATGACGATATAAATTAATGATAATAATTATGACAACATTACTACTACTATTATATTTAATAATTATACTAAAATATTGAAATATTATTATAATTATAATAATTAAGTATTACGATTTAATCACGTGATGCTTGGAAAGCTTTTCGCCTGTTATGTTCTTATTTTTATTCTGTGAGTAATTGTAAGTCGCAATTTTATGATAAAACAATTATACATATTATAATAACATTACATTATTATCGTAACAAAACAGTTATAGTTGGTTCAAGATCCATTCGATACAAAAATTGAATAATAATATGACTCGTGAATTAATGAAATCTTAGATAGTAAGAGTACAATGTATTCCGCCTGACGTCGTTTTTTGTAGTGTTTGGTGATTCGCTCATATGTCAACGCTTGCTTTTATTCTCAGTAAAAAATCTTTTTATACTAGTGTGTTGAACACACACTCTAAGTGATTTTTGTTGTTATAAAGCCGTAGTATTATCGATATATATTTGATCTTTTTATACATATGAATAATTAAAAATTCATTCGGATTCAAAAATTATCAAATTAAAGAACTTCATTAATTATTATTATGACTATTTCATGTTTACGGTATAATCAGTGCCACGATTTTATGTTTTTATACCAAAGTTGTAGTGTCTAACTTTACGTTGAATAAATAATACTTAAAAAAAAAAACAAATACTGGCTTGTTATTTTCATGTGATGGGGAATTACATTGAACAATTTTTTTTTAATTACTCCTATAAAGAGTTACAAAAGTAACTAAAAATAAAAGTATCCTAATAATTCCTTAAATTTTTAAAACATCATCTACAGTAATTAAATAAATGTACAGTAGAATTCAATTTTTTTATTAATTTAAATTATTTATTAATAAGGTATGCCATGTACATATATGATGAATAATTATATTATTATTAGAAGAGAGTATTAGTTTATAACATTTACTTTATTCATTATTTAACAAAAATTTCTATCCCTCATTATCGATAATTAGTGATATTAGAGTGTAGTTAAATTAATACCCTCATGCATATTAATTAGAAAAAGGAACAATCAAAGTAGAAACCATGGTGCTTAATAGTTTTGAACAGTCTGTAAGGAAGTAGTTTATTTATGGTGTTCGTAATGTTGAAGTAAAAACTGATAGAAATGTTAAAACAGCACAAAGTTGAATCGTTAATTAAGAAAATAGAACTATGTGGGAAACTGTTATGCATATGGCCTGATAATCCAAATTCGAAGATTATTGTTCAAGTTTTGAGTCAATGTGGATGGTTTATGTACACAGCAATTATGGCACTCAGATTATCATCACTTTTCATGGCTGTCTATCATGATTTAGAGAAGCCTTGTGTTATATTGATTGAAACTCTAAGTATATTCACAGTGAGTTTTCAAAATTTTCTTGCAGTTCTTCTGTGGAAATATAATCAAACTAAATTACGTGTAAGTTTTCAACGATTTATAATACTATTCTTCCCACAAAGTTTCTGTATGATAAAAATATTATTTATTACAGGTGTTATTTAGAGAGATTGTAGACTATGTACGAGCTGCTAAAAAAGTTGAAAATGATTTATTATACAATAGACTTTACTTTTACATACCTGGATGTGTATGTAATGCTGTATTCTGTCTAATTTTAACTGGAACTTTTTCTGCTGATTTAATATTCTCCAAAAAATCCGTCTCTATGAATGGATGGTATCCATTTTCTGTAGATGCATCTCCATTAAGATATTACATGACTCGTATGTTTATAGTTTTCTCAGCATTCCGAGTGGCATGTATATCTGCTACTGTTCCTTTCATTCATATGATTTACTTTGCATATGCAATTACTAGGATAGAATTAATATCTTATAAATTGAAATCGATGAAGAACGAAAAACACTTGATTGCTTTCATTGAAGAACATAGACAATGTATAAGGTATTTATAATATTCTAAAATTGACAGTATTTTTATTGATCTCTTTCTTTTCTAAAAGGTTTGTTCAAGAATACAACTTTGCAGTACGATTTATTATACTCTTCAGATATACAACAACAATAATTTTAGTCATTTTAACTGGAATGATAGTAGTTTTGGTGAGTCAGACTGTAATTATAAGATTTTTATTATTTATTGAATATTTTTAATATTTTTTTTTACTTTAGAATGAAAAGGTGTTACCAATATTCCGATCAGGATTAGCTGTTCTAGTCAGTTTACTGTGCGTCTTTTTTCCAACTTGGTTTGCTGATGATTTGTACATGATGGTGAATTATTTATTTATAAATCCTTGATGGAATTAAGTTTAATTATTAGGACGAACATTTTTAATCAGGTAGTATTTTAATATGCAGAGTCAAAAAATCCCTTTGGCAGTATATGATTCTAATTGGACGACTTTTTCTATTGAGATGAACAAATCAATAATAATAATTATGTGTCGAGCTCAAAGAGGGTTAAGCATTTCTGTACATGGCTTCATGCCAATTCTCACTAAGCATTTATATGGATCAGTAAGTTGATAATTTATTATTCTATTGTAAAAAATATTATTTTTAATTTATAATACTTTGCATTTGACAGTTTTTATCCTTGATTTTGTCTTATTACATGGCATTACGAGTCCTTTTCAAATGATGAACGGTGACATAGATGAACTTTAATTGATCACAGATATTAGAAACCCTTCCAGGTAAACAATAAACGTATAAAATAACATTAATTATTCATTACTGAGTTTCAAACTTTTAAATTGTGTAAATGATTGTGTTCGTTTACTTATTATCATCTAAGGTTATGGAATATACCGAAATGATATCATGTAATTTCTAGATTATCGACTGTTGCTCTTTTTATCATATTATGATAATATGAGTTTAACACTTATCGCTGATCGATAAAATAGAAATACAAAATTACATTTTCATTTATTATCACACGAATATTTATATTATTCAAAAATTGATTAAAATGTGTTTTATTGTTACTATTAATTTTTATATATATTATAGAGAGCACTACAATTTTATTTTCAATAATTTTGAGTATTATTAAACATAGAATTCATATTTATGAATAAATTAAAACAATAAGACACCAGTAAGAGTATTTAAATAAATTATTTATAATTTAACATGTAGGAATTTATTTCTTTTAAGTATAAAAAAATGATTACGATCTAATATCAACGGTCATATCATGTTGAAATACCGAGATCCGTCTGATCCTCGAAGTCAAACAACATTGAGCGTGGTTAGTACTTAGATGGGTGACTGCTTGGGAACACCACGTGCTGTTGATTTTTTTTTAATTTTTGTCTTTAATAAAATTAATTAATTTCTAACATAACTAGACATTTATTCAAAAAAAAAGACAAAAAAAAATTAAATTATCTATTCAATAATATATTTTTAAGTAAATGTATTTATTTATTGGTAATAATTAATAAATTAAAGTAAGATTCTCTGATAAAAATCATGAAAATTTTTCTATTTACGCAGAATAAATTGTTTTTTTGTGTGATGTAAAGCACACGTCGAAATTTTATGGCATCACCAATGGACCATGAATATTCAGAAGTGTCAAAAAGGCTTCATTAATAGCCACTCCAAAAGGCTTCACTGTGCATTTATTTTATGTAACTGAGTTTGCTTCACGTCATACATCCAGTTTGTGATAATCCTGGCAGTGTTTTATATAAATTGCTAACTTGATTACATACATTGACCGCATATATGAGGCCTCTTGATGCATATCAATGTTTAACAATCTGATTGTAGAATGAAAATATTATAGAATCATTTATAAGATATTATTAAATGTAAATCATCAAAGAAATAACAACAATGCATCTGAATGTCAAGTTTCTAATAACTGTTAAAATTTTTTTCATTCAAGAATTAACATAAATTAACTGTTTATTTGTACAATGCTCTAGATAGTTGATCATCACAAATTTTGTCACATTGGTTAATCTTTTGGCTTACGAAAGCAAAATGTCTAGGGTTAACAGGATTGTAGAAAGGAAAGGACTGTCAATTATATGAATAATCCGTTGATGTGAAATTTCATAATCTGCTGAATCAGTCTTTATCTCCGAGAAATTTCTCTTAGATGTCACAGTGTGTTCACATTCTGCTGATGGTACAAATATTTAATAAACATTTTTTTCTATAATTTAGCACATTAAATATATTTTCACATCATTTAGTGGCTTTGGATTAACAGTGTATTGGCATAAGGTTTCATAACTTTAATATATACGATAGCAATGATATTATTTAACAAACAAACCGGATGGTGAGCTTAAACAGCTACTGTTACTATTAATACTTATGTTGGAGGACACAGTTTAAGCATACTGCAACATGAGGGGTTTAAGTCTTTAGTAATTAAGAGATTACTCTCTGTTACCCGACACTTGAGCAGTTGTTTCTTATTTTTTATTAAATTTTCTATATAAATATACTGCATTGATAAATCTTGAGTCAGTTAACTTTAATTCATTTAATACTTGCACTCTGTTTTTATTTATAACAATTGTACTCTGTCTTTTTTTTATTTTATTAATTAATAAGTACATTTAAATATGTCATGTAATTATTAAATTTAATTTTATAAAGAATTATTATTCGAATAATAATATTATTTTTATTTCTATAAGGATCTTTAAAAATAAATTTATATTTGTTTTTGCCGCAGGTAGCGCTGTTGTGCTTTCGATGCAAAGGTTATCAAAGTAAAAGTTATGTTTCTTTGTTTCGAAATCGTCTAATTTATAAAAAATCTTACGACATTTTATTGAAATACAGGTGAATCCTGTTAATAATCAATTAAATGTAATTTTTTAGATAATTATTTTTTGATGATTGTAAGTAAACATCAGAATTAAATCAATCAAAATCTTACCATGTCAATTCCTAAAAAATTTTTTATTGCAATTATTCGAAATATATTGTTTTTTATTTTAACTTGTGCACAGTCAATTTTTTTCTCAGTATAGAGAAATAAAAAATAATTTAAGTTTTTTTATATTTGTTGTGTACTATATTCTGTGATTAAAATAAAAAAAGTTGGATTGAGAGGTTAACTAGCTCAATAACATTAATGAAAAAATAATGTGATAGTCGAAAGACAATTTACATAATACATTGAACATAAAATTGCATTTAAATACCCGCATAAAAATAAATATAATACGCGTAGAATATAATATAATAAAATTCTATACATTTGTGTACAGTATTATATAGCTTGAATCTCGAATATTTTATCGTGCAGTTTTACGCCCCCAGATTTTTTCCACTTTAATTGATTCAATCGGCGAAAAACACGACGGCTGAGTCGCTTTACGAGCTTTCCTTCCCTCCCTCAAGCTTGGCCGCCTCCATCCCCTAACACCAACCGCTGTAACGAGACGCCAAAGCCAACCCCTCGAGATCTCAACCCCCGAGCGATTTCCTCCCCTTGCCCTTTCTTCTCTCCTCTCTTTTTCTTCATGATTTTCGTGTTCCCTTCTGGATGTTCTCGCGTCCACCTCTTCTAACCCCTGGAGCTCGCGATATAATATGGAAACATTTATATACATACAGAAGTGAGGGGGGTTGAAATATTGTGGTCCGTGGCATGCTGCTGAATTTCTCTTTCTGTTGTTCACGATAGGGTGCATGGGGGGATGGTTAGAAGTGAGATGCAGGAAAAGACTTCGTGCAAATACGTTTATTATTTTAATTAAAGCCTTTGTCGGAGGAAATGTCGACTGTGATGGCTTTCTATATACCTACACCTCGTTATGAAACTTAGAAATATCCATTTCTTTGTTGTTGTGGGCGTTTGTGCAACATTAATTATATTTTACTGTGATCTTAGTGTTTCAATAGATAAGTCAATTTAATAATTAAGTGATCAATTCTCATTATTAGAAAAATTATTCTAGATTTAAAAAAAAAAATTTTTTTTTAATAAATCATGCATTTTATATTTATTGTAATAAATATTCTATTTATTATAAATAAAAAATTATATTTACATTTAAATTACACTTTTTTATCATGAGATATTGTGGAGATAATTAAAAAGAATTTTTATCTGCATATATTTTGATAAAAAATAGCAATTTTCAAAGAAACAAGTTAAAAATACAAAAAGAATCATAAATCTTTTTTTAAATCATAAAATTATACTTACTTGAATTTTTTATATTTTTAAAATTTGACAACAGACCTTTGGAGGAGATTTTTTGTATTTTTCTCAACTCAAAATGTTGTTAGTAATTTAAAAAATTTATGAAAAAAAAATTTTGGGCATCATTTTACAATTTTCAGTGTACCATGAATGTTTAAATACTAAAAAGAAATATTTTATTTACAAAAATATTTAAAAAAATTATTGAGATTTACGCAAAAAATAAAAGTTTACCCTTTTAACACTCATTCCTATATTTACCTCAGAAGATTCTGGGTGGTCAGCAATAAATATCTATTGTCCAAAAGAACGACAGCTTGTTTTTCTTCACTTTTCATACAATTTCTATACACCATTGTTTTTTTTCTCCTAGTTGGTAACAGGTATGAGTTTTTACCTAGAAAAATGTATCTCCATTGGACGAATGTTTTATAGAAAAACCCATCAGACTGTTGCTCTATTAAAAAAAAGTATTTTTGTTAAAAAGAACTATTTAAGAAGAATGTTAAAACATATTACATAGTGATAAAAGGTTTAAAATGAACATGAAAAATTGTATTCATTGATTTTCAAACCTAAAACATTTAAATACCAATAAAATGTCACATAATTTTTTTTAAACAGACATAAAGATTTAAACAAATTCCTCGAAAAATAATATCAACTCTAAAAATAACTTGAAAAATATTCGTAATTTATTTAAATCAATATCTCATGTTTCGTTGACAACTTGAGCAGCGAGAAGTGTTGCTGGTGATGATGTTTTCCATGAAAAAGGATTTGTAGTTCAAGTTAAAACTATCTCAGTAGTCCAAGATGTTTAAAATCTAAATCCAGATGAGAATCCCCATTCATCTAGAGCACTGCGTTCACCATTGGAGATCTAAGTATAAATTTTTTCTCTCCATAGCTTTCGCGAAACCACAAATCCTGCCTCCAAGTATTTCTGACCCACTGACCATTGTGAGGGATCTCTAATGGTCACGACTTGTAGGAGCAGCAATGGAGCACCAGAAGAAATACGACCAGTGACAATAAATTGGAAAGTCGAAGCTTTCACCCCTCACTCAGTCTTCTGTTCTTCTGAAATGAAAATAAAGAGAGTCCTTTGACTCCTTAGAGTTTCTAAAAGTTTTCCAATTTATTATCTCTCAAGTCAAGTTCTATTTGGGTAAGATGTCATAGGTCATTGTGAAGATCAACTATGTCACCTTTATTTACCTTCATTGGTATTCCCTTTTATCATTAACCACCATCTTCACTCCTGTATTCCTGTAATATATAAGATATTGTTCCTTAATTGAGTTTGACCATTTTGGTCGATACTCCAATATAACTTTTATGTTTATTACCTTCAACCATCTATATGTCCTTGGATACCGGGACTGGGTCACGGATTAGCCTAGCTTCAATTGCAGCTATTATGAGGTTATTGCTCTGGTCCTGGTGTTCAATAGTACCATCATTTAGTAAGTCAATACCCTATGGTTGATTATTTGTCAACAAAGTTTTCACTGTAATTATTACTCATATAAAATTACCTCTAATGTTTATAGAGGGGTGTAAAAGTATCATGACCAAAGTCATTTAGCTCGGAGACTCATTCAATGGAACCTTTAAATCTATTTTACTTATTTTTGAAATAATTATAATACAATAAATGTAGGTATACAATGAATCAACTAAGATAATTGTTCATTCCTTTTCGACAATAGTAATCATTATAACAAAATAAATATCCTATAAAAATATAAATATAGATTATACTCTTTACAAAGTGGTTTTTCAAGCCCATTAGAATATATATTGAAATTACTAAAGCAATTTATTTAAATAATTTATCTATACTTGACACTTATAATTAGTATTTATTAATTAAAAAAATATTGTTCTTTTATAATAATTATAAAATATTATTATTGTTATTATGTTTTCATTTTTAATTAAAAAAAATTAGTAATCGATAAATTAAATCCATTTTTAATTGTTCATAACAATATTATCGTTTAAATGGAACTGCCTGAATATTCTAAAATTATATTTTATTAAATAATATTTAAAAATGTTAAACTAGATTATAATCTTTTATCATAAATAATCACTAGAATAATTGAAAAAAATTACTTTTTTTGACTTGCGTAAAAAATAAATAGAATATCATGAGTATATTTATTCTCCAAGCAAAGGTTCAATGAGGCCGATCAGCGGGTGTTTGGTAGCGGATTTGTTATTCCCCGAGGCACCCTAGCATTTATGGGGGTAAGTACACGCATAGGATATGTACGAACACGGCGTGTAGCATACGCGCTTTATCATACAATGTGAGAAACTCAATGACCCAGCGTGCCTGTGGCGTTTGCTGTTTGCACGCTGCCCCGCGTGTGGCAACCTTCCACTCCAAATAAATACGAAACTGTGTTTAATCCATAGAGCGTTGATCAAATGTCCGTATACTTATCGTCTGATCGAGATCAATGCCAAAAAAGTAAGTGGCGACGTCTAGGACAGGCTGAACGTGTGGTCTTTTCTCTTATTCAGCTCTGGGGGTTGTTCTGTGTCATGTTTATGTTGAGTGCTAGTCTCCCAGGAACATCTCCAGTCATTAATAAATATTATTATCTGGAATTAAAAATATATATTTACTATTAATTATTGATTTATATTATTTCAATAGCATCAATCAAAGCCATAATATTAAATGATCATCTTGATGATATTGGAGCAGATTTTATGAAGCAAAGTTTAAATTAATCATAAAAGTAAAATGGAATTGATTGATGCACCAAAGATGAAAATTTTCCCAAGACTAGACCACTCATCTCCATGGACTTATGTATAGCAAATCTGCACTTTATTGTTAGCAATATTTTAAAGCAGTTCAAGGATATGTCTTTACAAAATTATCATCTATCACTACGGCATGAAAAATTAGTTTTGAGTAAGTAAAGACCAAACAGCTACCGAACACCACACTCAGATCATTAGAAGAAAGCGTTATTACATGCTGGGTCTTATTTACTCCAACTGTCTGATTGTTTCGCTCCTGAGATTGGACTTGACATTGATGTTTGCTTCTAGGTCAGAAACAATATTTGCTATGCAGTTGAAAAATGCTTACCGACCAAAAAAGAAAGAACAATCCTAGAAACAAAATCACCAGCGGCGAGAGGGCGCGTGGCCTTTTTATTCAAGATTTTCTACGTCTGCTATTCTACCGTCAATTTCTATTTATTTCTGTTCCATCCTCACTTCATACACATGATCAAATAATCCTACATTATTTTTAATTTAAACTTCAAATCACTGCATTCAATTATTTCTGATCTCCTCTGAAATATTTTGCAAAAGACATTTATTTATTGAAAGATATTTACAGTAAAATGTTGGTCAATATTGAGTATTTACTTTCATTTGGAATACTTTGAATAGATGTATATTTACCAAAGTCAAAAGGTCTTTTCTCTTTGCTGCTTTCTATTCCTTTCAGCAGACAATCTGTTAAAGATGAAAATACTTCTAGAAATGCCTTGTCTAGGCAGAGCGCGTGGCTCTCATCTACACACTCCGATTTGGAGAAAATGTGTTTGGATTGGTATAGAGAGTAGCAGTAAATTTTCTAGCACAGCAGGATTACAAAGATACCTTGAGGAACATTGGGAACATCGACAGATCAGGGGTGCGTCACAGTGGGAAGTCTCGCGCCCAAACGCGCGACTTTAAGTAACCCATACTGTGCTAACCCTTTTTTTGAATACAGGGTTGAATATACAACCAAGAATAACACGTAAATAATATACATTTACACCAGAACTATATTTATCATGAGAAAGGTATGAACTTTCATAGAAAGATCTATTTTATTTTTGGGTATTATTATGGCAAGCTCCTGTATAATTAGTCTAAACAATTTTGGGTTTTATTTAATACTTAGTGTAGAAGATGAATATCTTGGAATGTTTTTTCCAACAAGCTTCGTTGGTTAAAAACATCTTTATATTTTTAAAATACATGATTTAATTAAAATAAATCATTTCATTGCTCGACATCGAAGTGATTTATTTCAATGCACATAAAGTGCGGTATTTAATATATATTATTTTTATTTTAAACAATTATATAGGTCCAATAGCACCAGCAAAATTAGGACCACAGATATTAACTCATATCGTCGCTCGCACGACATAATCACTTATCTTACAATTGTCTCGTAACTGAACTGAGTTCACCAGAATAAGTAAATTGTAATGATTCACCTTCTCACATATGCAAGAAACAGAACAGCCGTCGAGAAACAAAAATATGTTTATTAAGCTTTGAATGACTGGTCTCAAGTGTTAATTAATTAGGGGGGTCACTTTTTTAGCAGTTTAAAGTAAATAAAAATTAAAAACACATGATATTTTATACACTAGTTGACATGAATGCCGTTCAATTGTTTTGAGGTTATCCATGCGATTCCCTATACCTTCTTATACCAAATTAAGATGGCGTTTGTGTCGTGCGGTGTAGTAACGTACTAAATCATTTTATTTTGATGCACACACTGTATTTTCTTTATTGCCGTAAATGCATCGGAATAAAAAAAAGAAATTTTTAGTGTTTAAATATATTAAATAAAGGCGGAGCTTTTATTAATAATGAATATTTTTTAGATCAATTGTTTCACCGTTATTCCAACGGTATACTAAGAATAAATTTCAAGAAAAAAAATTTTTTTGACTAATTGGCAGACAAATAAGCCATAAATCATTGCAACTTAAAGTAAATGCAGAACATGTCATTTTTTGAGCATTGAAGTGACAGTAAAAAGAAACCAAAGAAGAAAAAAATACTAGTGGGAAAGAAGCTTTTTTAAAATGAAAATCTGTGGGGTCGTATAATTTTATAGAGGTCATAGACAAAACGCAGGACCATTGAACTAAAGAAAACTTATAAAATTTTACAGCCCTTAGGATCCGTACATGCGGTAAACCAAGCATGTTTTTTGGAGCTACCGCAAAATGTAAGGAAGTCAAAAAGTTTCTTTTTTTTACATCATATTCCTAGGTGTAATAGTAAATCATATTTCATGAGATATATTTTTTATTTCCAGGTGCAATACTCTAGTACTGTTATTTCCTATGAATTATGACTTGTTGACAAAATTTTTAGCCATCGAAAAGGTCTTTTTTATACTTCTTGAGGTCTAAAAAATACCACAAATTTTTATTATTGAATAATTTGAAGATTTATTTAATTTCTCAAGCATAAACATCTCATTTGTGCGGTTTTTTATGAACCTAAAAATCACTTTTCTTAAATATTTACAATTTAAAGTAAAAATCAAGACACTTTCGTAATAACTTTTCAATACTGTCCATTGAAATTAATATAAATTGTTCATAAATAGTAAAGGAATAAAAGACAGTAATTGATTGAAGTCTCTACCAACTCTATGTTAATTTTATCCGCTATTGAATTAGGATGCCAAGAATTTTACATAAAAATAAAGAAAACGGTATTCTCTAGAAACTCTTAATTAACTTCAAAATGAATGACTTTTTTTAAAAAAAAAACCTATTGAAAAATATAAATGAATGTTATTCTGAGTGTAAATATTTTATTAAAGTCTGTCAACTGTTGAATAACTTATGAGAAAAGCTGCTGTAAAAATCGTTTTTATAATTTTCTCATTTTTTTTTTTTTTGATAATTGGACAATTTCCTATTTTACTTCAACAATCTTTCCAAATATTTTAATATTTTTTTTCTTCAAATTCCACAGATAATCAGTCAAAATAATAATCATCATAAAGTAATCGATTTTTAAAAATTTTATTCTGATTAAAATTAAAGATTGTTAGCAAAAATAATTTCTATTTTTGTAAAGTTATTATTTGAACTCTATTAATCTTGTCAACTAATATTTTGCTCAAAATAAATTCATTTTATATTTCATACAACAATTAAAAGTATTGTGCTCCAGTATGTGATAAGCATATGTAAATATATAAATAAAATATGCAAGTTTGTCCTAAATTATAATAATAACTGAGACATTAATATCTATTTGCTCAAAAATAGCTTACGCAATATCAGTGTATAATATATAAACATTCTCCAAAGCTTCTGTAGGCTACTTCATTGAATGTGCTGTTGGAAAAGCTGTATTTATTTAAAACACAAAATAATATGCATATTTTTGAATAAATTTTAATTAAAATAAATTCATTAATAAAGAAAAGAAACTTTCTAATAAAACATTTTTTAAAAAAAAAAGTAGAAATCCTAAACTAATCTATGGCATTTAATCATATTTTTAATAAAGTTGAAGTGATTTTTTTAAAATAATTATTTATATTTAGTTATAATAATTATAAATAGGAATATTTTCTGTAAAAGGAAATTTACTTAATAAAACATTTTTTTCTGTGTAAATATAGAATGATTCATGTTGGATAAATACATAAATCAGAAAAACCGTCTAAATAATATCAATTAACAGCACTTTTATCAATAAAGTCTTATGATATTTGATTTATAAAATATTTTGCTTCGCTATCTTTGAACTCATAAGTTAATGACCACCGAAACTCTACGAAACAAAAGGTATATATGTACATAGTAAACGAATTCATCAATGAAAAAAATTATTACGTTAATTTTTCAAGCGATTAAACAAAATTAAGTGATAGTTTATTCAATTAAAAAAATGAATTAATGACCATTTTAACACATTGAGTGTAATTTTTGTCTAGGAAGTCACCAGACATATGTGTATGTAGATGTGTAGTTGATGATATTTACACAATTGGTGATAGATGACGTGTAAATCATAAGATTATTGTAATAGATGAATCCTTCAGTTGGATAAAAATAATTCATCTCCAGTATGTCACAGTTTTGATACAATAATAAACGCGGACATGAATATTATTGAATATTCGTTAATTCATATTAGGTTTTTTAATATTACATCTAGTTTAGGTTTAAGATTATTAAGTGATAAAAAAAATTAATTTAAATATCTGTAAAGTTTTGTGGAGTTCGTTTATGTATTTACACAAAAGAACGTTCGTGTTATCTCATGGCGCAACAAGTATTTTACGTTTTATCTTGCGCCAGTCTGTCATACATCCACAGGTCAATAACCATAAAACAATTTAATCAAGGATATATGGATGATTAAGATCATTGTGAATAACGATTATTCGTTTATAATAATAAATGTTTCAATTTCGAAATAATTTTTAGAAGATATTGACCTTTTATACTGCATTGTATTAAGTTGGCTTGGAAGTTACCAAATATCATTTACCAAAAAAATTTTATTAATTTATTAATGCGACTACTTGTTTTTTAGATGACTACAATTTAGCTCTAGCTTATAAATCATTGATGTGGGTTTTTTTTATCTTTTTATCACAAGGTAATACATTGATAAAAAACCTAAAATAAGTTACAAATCATAAATTCTCGTTAACAATCATCAATCATTTAATTGATTTATCTGATTTAATTGTTGTAATAAAAAATCATTATATTTTACCGACTGAGTAAAAAATTTTTTTGTTTGTTATTTTTTGGAATTCAAAGAAAATACTTAATTAAAAGAAGAACCATTTATGGTATTAATTTTTATAAACTTTGTTTCTATTTAGTAAAAAATAATTTTTAAAAAATTATTTGATTGATATTCTAATTTTTTACTCTATAAACTTTGAAGACTTGATAAAAAATAGTTTGATATTATCAAGAAAAACGATTGAATATATTTATATTAATTGCCATCTATGCGAAAAGTATAATTCATTTTTGCATCAAGAGATACGGTAGTTACAGTATATTAGTATTTACAAAATGAGCATGCAAAATCTATAATCTAATGTGTTTATATATCATTTTTATTTATTAATCTGTTGTACATAAACATGATATGCATTGGATTGACTATGATTTATAGCAGAATCACAAAGTCAAGTAACATAAAAAGATTAATACTATTTAAAAGTCACAAACATTGTCTTTCAGTACTGTCAAAAAATCATAACCTCTGATTCTCTTACACTATAAATAGTTTTAATTGATTTTTTGATAATTGTGAAAATATATAAGAACCTGTTAAAAATTTATAAGACGGTTCAAATGAATATTTAGTACTTTAATATTTTATAAAGCAAGACTAATAATCAAATGTTTAACTTTATTTCAAAAGAATAATAATAGAAACACATTAGATAAGTCAACTGGTAAACAATCAAATGTAGGTCAATATCAAATTGATGTTTTGATGAGAGGATTTCTACTCATGACACTATTTGATTCCACCGAGACACTGACAACGTGTGACAGCTTGAAAAAATGACATTTCAAGTACAGGGATTAAGTTGGATATTTACGTTAAGCTCTTCAAGGTGATAAATTCATTATAAATGACATGAAATGAGATTTCTTCGTATATAAATTATAAACTATTTTATGACTTAAACAATGAAAAAATATAATATATACAATATCATGAATGAGCTTTGCAATATGCTTCATAGGATCATAATGTATATGAAGAAACTATAAAAGGCTGTATGCACTTTGATGTATTTTATATTCACTTAAAGCTTATTTTACAAAATTGGTAAATCAGTTATCATTTTCATAGAAATGTTGGAAATATTTTAACAATTTAATCATTTTACTGAATAATTGATTAGATAGAATACATATTTATGATCGCAAAGTGCAAGTGTGATATGAAAATTCTCCAAAACTAATCGGTCATATCGACATTTTATTTTTGTGTAAACAAACTTTTTATTTAATTAAGTGTTTTTAGAATATTGGATAATTTTTTAATTAAATTTTAGATCAATAACTAGGTGTGTATGATCATCAACATTTAAAATAATTTAAAGAATTTTTATTCATCTTACTGAATAACTATCTTTTTGATTAATTTATGATCATGTCAATGAAATAAATAATTTCTAAATTCATTTATTTATAGCATATATTTTGACAATCATGGCCTTAAACAATTTTGATTCTAAAGAGAATTATTACGAACAAATTTTACGAAAAAGATTTAATGATAAAAGTATCAAAGTCAAGGAAATATTGGAGAAGGATGCAGATATAGAGAAAGGAACAAATTATTGTAGTGTATTAAAAAGATTATCAATTAAATATTCTTGCTCATCTTATTCTAAATTAAGTTCTAGAAATGAAATTGAAAATATCCTTCATTTAATTATCAAAGAAGAACTAGCTGAAGGAATATGGTCAAAAGAGTTACAAGCACTGAAAATATTTAATATTGAATCAACAGTTTTAAAAAAAATTTTACCTAAAATTGAACATCTTGTTGGATTAAAAATAGGTCCAACATTTATACACGCGACCTCTGAACCAAGTACCATCACAATGGATGATCTAGAAGTTTCCGGATTTCGAAATGTGAATCTTTTAAGAGGATTTTCCGAGTCTCATGTACTGATGGTGATGGAAACTATTGCAAAGTTTCATGCTGGCTCGGTTGCTTTCAGTGAAAAGGTAAGTGATTTAAATTATATCATTTTAAACTGTTATATATAATATTAAATTTAAAAAAAAATTATGTTAACGTTATAATTACTTTTTTAGGAGCCAAAATGTCTAGAACAATTTGACAAATATTTTCCATCAGATATCAAGCATCCGAATTTTTTCAGAATGATTGAGCATAGTATCAGTTATCTTGGTGAGATTATTAATGAATGGAATGACGAGAACTGTATAAAAGCAGCTCCGAAGATTAAAAAACTGGCCATAAACATTTGTGAAAATCTGAAAGCAATTATTGAATGTGATCATAATGAGTTTCAAGTGCTCAATCATGGCGATTGTTGGTTAAATAATATAATGTTTAAAGAGAATGAAATTGGTGAACCACAAGAAGTCAGATTAGTATGTAAAAATAATTATTATACACTGAGAAAGAAATTTACTATGAGCAAATAATATTTTTTTTTAATTAATAAAATCAAAGTTTTGAATAAATGAACATTTTTTGGTATAGTGAAAATTTTTTTCTCAATGTCAAGGCCTGTTTCTAAGAATTTAATACTTTAATAATATTACTAATTATTTATCATCTCAATATTTGTTATTGATCGTCTTAGAAATAGCTTTAGTTGATAGAATAATTTGTTTATTTTGAATAATCATTTTCAGTTGAACAAAACATTTGATAACGTGGAATTTATTTCACAAATAACACGTTTCTAAAGTAAATAAGTATGAAATAAGTAGATGAGAAAAAAAAATTGATATGATTTGAAGTGAATAACATGTTTTCGAAATGATTTATGGTTTATTATAAGTAATTTTTGAATAGCAAAATTCATTGTATTCTATTATCTTAGCTAAATTTTTAAACAGTACAAGTAATTTTAATAATTGAAGTTCCTTGTTCAAATTGCAATCTTAAAATCGAATCCAGGCATTTTTTTGAAACCAATGGTCGGGTTTTAAAAGCTCTTTGAAGAAAAATATTCCAACAAATACTAGCTTTATTCTATTTATTACTTATTATTAGCTTCCATCCATCTCTTACATTTTAATGCTACAAAATATTAAAATGAAACACTATAGAAATTTTTATTTGCAGTTTCCAACTCATAACTTGTTTAAAAATTTAAAACTTTAATCAAATTGAATAGAATTAGCATGTGAAAGGAAAAAAGACTTTCTCTACAAAGCCACTAATTCTGCTTCAGTAAATAATGAACAGATATTGTTTAAAAAATAGCTGAAATAGTATTTTAGAAATCTGTTACCAAGTAACATTATTAGCATATCAATCTGAAACTTTAAATAATAATATCTTAAAGTTTTAATTTCTTCCAAGCAGACCTATATCATAGTTTAATAGAAAAAAAAGTTTCAAAGTAATCTAATAAAAACCCTTTACAGGTGGATTATCAAATGTGTAACTGGTCATCTCCAGCAATAGATCTATTGTATTTCTTAAACTTGTGTCCAGAGCCAAATATCAAGTGTAATTTAGATGACTTTTTTATCACAAAATATCTAGAAACTCTCAATGGAACGATGGAAGAGTTGAAATGCAGCAGAAAATCATTGACTTTTAGTGAACTACAAAATTCCATGATCAAAAGAAAAGCTTTAGCTCAATTAACTGGACTAGTATATTATCCAAAAATCATAGCTGATCAAAAAGACGTTAATTCAATTGATGAGATCTTAGAGCAAGAACGTTGGGGTTTAGAAGTATATAAAAATCCAGAAGCAATAAAGACTTTAAGAAAAGTGATCCCAATAATGAACGAACGTGGATACCTTGATTAATACAAAAAATAATTATAACATAAAAATAATTAATGTTTAATAAATAATAGCCATATGATAAAGAAAAGCATATTATAAAATATTTATCAAAGAATATTAAGTGATTAGATATTTTGTTTCTTAATGTATGATGTGGTGTGCATTTTATTTAAATATTTTCCTGCATTGATTGCTCAATTTCAAACATCACTAAACTTTAATCGTCCCTACATAGTTCAGTGCCCAATGAATGATATTCAATTTAAAATGACGAGATAACGAAACGATATTTAAGAACTCTTTTAATCATCACATAATAAATTAGCAGTTGGTAAACGTGGGTACAACAACCATTAAAATTGTGCAAACAGCATTAATACGCAGTTGCGAGTTGTCAGAGGTAACTCGATCAGTGTGAACATTCGTCTGATCATGAACACTTCGACGATACCGGTAAATCGAAAATTTGGAATGCTATCCAACTCTATTGAAGATATCATAAGAAAGGTAAGATAAAGCTGTAGTATTTTTTATTGAATGATCTTCTAAAATATATCATAATTCTAATTGATAAATTATTTTTTCTAAAATTAACTTAGTTTCATTTTTATAAGTAAAATGTTTGAAACAGTTTTAAATTTACTCATAGCTATGGCTTACTATTTTTAAGTTTTTTTTTTTTTAATATAATTCAATTTTATTATTGAAGTTAAAGTCAATATCACACTCTGTCTTTTTTTAAAATACAGTAGAGAACAATTTGTGTCAATAGCATAGCTAGAAGTTTAATTTAAAATTACTTTGACAACTTGAAGTTATCTAATGCTTTAAATGAGTGGATATAAACCTTATATATATATGATAAAAATGATGATTATTAGTTTAAAAATAGTTAACGATAAATAGCTTAAAATCTAGAGCTTAAAATGAATTTACTTTGATTTTTAGGATGAAATAGTATTTGAAAATATTAACTGGACAAATATAATTTTTGAAAAAATTCTTCAGAATGGATTGCGAGACGGAACAATTCAAGATGTGGCGATGGTCAATAAGCGAGCAGCATGTGCAAAGGGGCAGAATTTTCTCAGTCAGTTGTGGAGATTTTCATTAAGATATACTTGTATTGAAAAAGACAAATCAAATGAACGAGTGGAGAAAATAATTCATCTAATATTAAAAGAAGAACCTTTACCAGGATTTGGATTAGATTATATTAGAGAAAATGACATATTTAATGTTGAGTTGATGGTATTTAAAAATGTACTACCTGTTTTGGAGCGACTCGTCGGACGAAAGTTTGCGCCACGATTCTTTTGCGGATCAATGCAACCACCAACAATTATACTAGAAGACTTGAATTCTTGTGGATTTAGTAACAAGTGCCGTCAAGAAGGTTTATCAAAAGCCCATATGCTAAAAGCCATCGAAGCTATTGCTCAATTTCATGCTGGATCTGTTGCTTTCAATGAAAAGGTATTGTAGATTATTCTATTAATATTATCTATAAATCAACATTCAAACAATTTTCAACCATTCTGTGACCCAGAAAAACTCACACTTTCCATTGTGTTATTACTTTTTAGCAACCTGGATACCTTCAAAGTTTTATATCAAGAGCCGTATCGGAAGAAACTCACATCAACATGTACAACTTTTTGGATTTTATCATTGAGAAAATAGCTGACAAAATTCGTGGATGGCCAGAACCATGGGCTCAATTAGCTTCTGATAAGTTGAAAAAACTTCTAGCGACGCAACGAAAACGAATTCTTCAAGTCACTGAGTATAGTGATGATGAATTTTGCGTTTTAAACCATGGCGATTGTTGGATCACAAATATTATGTTTAAAGAAGATGAAAATCACACTCCAATTGATGTTAGACTGGTAAGTTGATTATTAAAAAAACTGCACGAATGATTTTATTGAAATTTATGAGAAATCATATACTGTGTTTATGATATCTCGTGGTCTCCATTGCTTTGCCCCACTATAAATCAATTCAACAAATACTGAGAGTGGAATGGGTAATCTCAATCACCACATTTGTCGCCATCATTTCTATTATTTGACTATCATTAGCATTCATGCTTTTTACTGATACTAATGAACAAAATGGCTGACAAAATGAAACCTGGTTGATCGAAGAAAAATTTTTATTTTTGTATAAGTAATAAAATTTTTTTTAAGTAAAATTATTATTTTATATTCTCATTTCTTCTTATTTATCTTAGTGTATCACAAGAAAGTTAGAAATTTATCTATTCACCGGAAAAAAAATTAATTTATTATTCTATTTGTTAAAGCAATAATTTATAATTATTTTCATCATCAGAAATTATATCTTGATAATTAAATAATTATAGTAACAAAATTTTTATCTTATTTTAATTATTTTAACATGAATTAGTGATTGATAAAAAGCAACGCTCATTTTGAAAAATGATTTAATATATTTTTTCAAAACTGCTTAAAACATTGAAATTTTTTTTTACATTAGATAATTATTATTTAATTATAGTTGGACTATCAACTAACGGTGTGGACTTCACCAGCAGTAGACTTACACTACTTCCTCAATACCTGTCCTGAAGTGAAGCTTAAAGTAGATTACGACGATTTTTTTCTGGAAAAATACTTGAAGACTCTGACAACAACTATGAAGAATTTAAACTGCAAAACAAAACCACCAACTATGAAAGATATCAAGAAGTCGATGTACAAAAGAAGAATTTATGGAATCATGTCTGGACTGATATTCTTCCCAAGAATGATAGCAGATACATCGGATATTGAAGGACTCGATGAATGTCTCACAAAAGGAACAACGAAAATGGATATTTTCAAAAATCCACGAGCTGTAAAAGCTTTAAAAAAGATGATCCCTTCGATGCTAGAGAAGGGATACTTAGACTAGATAATTTGGATGAATAAATAATAAAATAATAATCAACTTTGATTGAGTGAAAAAAATTTTAAGAAGCAGCCTTTCATTTTAGAAAATTAGAAACTCGAAAACAAATGGAAAATGTGAATTCTAGGAAACATAATAAATAGAAGGATAACAACCCTTACGCAACAGAGGTTCTTTTTTCTTGAAGACCTATTTTCAAGTGCACAGCATGTTGTGGAAGTAAATTTTTACGCAGGGCTACTGTCTAAGAGTGCAGAAAAACAGTAACATTGATTTATTGTAGGGCAGTAAAGCAGTAGGTAAAACCCCGCGGTGTTCGCCTTGGTAACCTACATCGTGAACATAGAAATTGTTGTGGCAAGCCTCGATGGGTGGCTTTAGATCCTGAGAATAGAAGAGAGAAGTGCAGATGAGATAGAAAAGAGCCACGAAGAGTTTGTCTCCAAGAGTGAAAAAAGAAAGGTCAAAAGATGCTAAGAGGTATCTCTCATGGCAAATTTCTCTTTGCTTTTTCATTCTTTCCTCCGTATCCCCCAGCACAGCAGCCTGTCAATTTATGTACCCGCGCGTTCATCTAGTCAAGACGTCAGTCAGTCACTCGGTCGTGCAACCACCTATAAGCAGTAAATCAATGCTAGTGGTCAACCCAGGGCTACTGGGTTGTAAAGTAAGGCCACGGTTAAATCGAAATCAGTAGCTTGATTTTGGTGTCTCTGGGGGCATTTTCAACTCCAAAGATAATAGACCTGTGGAAAGTCAAGGCTACTGGACGACTTGACAAAAAAGAATATGAGAAAGTCTGAAAAACAGGAGCTACACGCTTTAATATTCGTGGTATCCAGGTTACTCGGTCGTCAATACCATGAAAATTCCAGTAGCTTGCAACGCATATTAGTCATGTCGAGAGAGAAAATGCTTATGGGGTGCAAAGAAAATTGCTCTTTTTTTTCAAATACTATTTCTATCACCTAAATATCTGTGGTATGAATAATATTTCTGTACAAACTTTTTTAAATTTATTTGTCTAATAGTTCTTACTAATCATCCATAACACTGATTTGGACAAATTTCTAGTAGACTACTGTGAAGAGAATTGTTGTAGAAATATGTGAAGAATATTAATAACTTTCATTTATCATCAGTGAAAAATACATCTAGCCAGCATTTAATAAATATAAGATACTTAAAAATAACACCTCTTTTATGTTTGTTATATTAATATTAATAACAATAAGAAATTTTAAGTTCTCATGAAGTCAGTGAGCTGGATCGAATTTAACCTATGTCATAAATACCTTAGGTAATCCTGCGATTTGTCAAGTACGATGGCTCGATTGAATCTCCCGCTGACGATCCGTCATCGTCTTCCGTTGAATAACCACAATACATTCGTCTTTCAGTATTGATTAGGATGGTGGCCGTTTCAATTGATTAATTTACCGGAATAATTGTTTTATATGAGAACGGACATTTCAAATTACGAAATAAATGTAGAATGGCCGAAGGGTTGATCCTAGAATACAAAAAGAGATTACGATACTATGATACAGAAAAGTGGAAAAATTTTTATTCAGTTTTTTAAGTGCCACCCACATTTTCTATTGTTGAATAAAAAAAAATGACAGTAACATATTTTCTGTTATTCAAATAATTGTTTAATTGAATATGACTGAATGTTTAAAAAGAATTTTTTTTATCATATTGTGCGTATCAAATAAACGTTTTTTTAAACTAAATATATGTATATGTATTGAAATGTAATGCAATATATTTTTTAATTTATAGTACTTTGTACTAATAAAATATATGTATTAAACATCTTCATTATTTATTTGATATTAAATATAGTAAATTATTTAATCGATGAATATAATTATACTTTTGCTATTTTTTTTTTCAATCATTATCATCCTAAAATCAAAATAATCATTTCAATTGTCAATTAATTTATTTTCTGGATAATGAATCATTTTTTTAATTTATAAAAAAGTAAAAAAATGGTTTATTTGTGTATTAAAATTTTAATGTGCAATTTCTGTCAAACTTTAAGTAAATAATTACAATTGTTTGTATAAGTTTTTCTTGCTTTCTATTATGTTTGAAATAAAGAAAAAAATATTGTTTGTAAAAATCTGGATTGGGATGTCACAAAGTGACCTGCTCTATTCATTAGTCTTTAAACATCTTTGAAAGATGGAAGAAAGTTCTTTGACCTGGATCCTGTTTAATGTCTTTTGCGAGGACCAAATTGGGTCCATGACGATGAAGGTCGTTGGAGGTGTGATGCTGACTTTAAAACTCCAACAAATTTGGCTTTTGTGGGCTTATAATTCCCACGAATTTGCTAAAATGACTGAATGCTCTACTAATTAGCTATGCTTCTGTTGATGGTTAAAGGTTTGTGAGGATGATAAATATTTGTTACTTACCCTAAAATACATTGAAAACATCATTTTTTATAACTCATCATTGAAAATTAACTTTTCTAAATAATTTTATTATTTTTTGTTTAAAAGAAATGTTTCCTCACACATGTTGTTGATGTCATTACATTGAAATATCATCTAAAAAAATAATTACTAGAGTTTAAAAATTATAATAATAATTTTTTTTAATCTTTAAATAATTTTCCTTTTTTGAATTAAGCTCATGTCTATATTAAATATTTAAAATACATAATAACAGGTTCATTGACTCCAAATCTTCATTTCTACTCGCATGGTTAAGCATTGCGACGGAGTATTAAATGTTATCATTTATAAATAAATTCAATTAATGATTAAAAAAAAAGTTATGTTCACCCATCAATTAATTAACATCAACATTTACAATTATTCTCATAAATTATTGTAATTCATTTCATATTATTTTTTTAGTTTAAATCAGAATATTCCAACAATATCAACATAGAATTACTGTAAATAATATTTAACAAGAGTTAAAATCACCAGGAAAAATATAACAACACTTGAATCTTTGGGTTGAAGCAGTTTCCACATGAATAACAGATCCTAAAAATTGAATGCAATGATCATTAATTAATAAAAAAAATGTATATACTGATAAATCATGCTTCAAGTAATAGAGTCCATTCACTGAATGTAGAGTTATTACTCAGCTAGCATCTGAGAAATAATTTTTTGTACGCGAGTTATTCACACACTTCCTTATTAGATGCTTTTATTGAACAGTTAACAAAGAAGGTACGAAGAAATGATGGATAAAAGCAACATAGATGATGAAAAGCAATAAAATATATATCATTTAAACTGGAGATATAGTGACGATTAGATCAACAAAGTGCCCACAGCTAACAAATTTAGGAAGCTGTTGATGAACGGTCATAGTTACAATACAAATATAATATCTTGGATTAATACAAGGGTGACAAACAAATATTCAATTACTGTACATCATGAAACCCGCAGTTCTTTTTCAACACGAGCAATCTACAAATCAGAGAATGGTTTAAATGCATGCTTTCTGAAAATATAGGGGTGTATTTATTGATACGTACTTTGCTGCTTAATTAGTGACAACATCAGGTAATAAATTTCTGCCTTTTTTATGATGCAACAATACACCCGTGAGATTTGAGTTAATAAGTCGTTTAGTAAGCTTTTATATAATTTGGTGAAAAAAATTGATTGAGTTAAATGGCTTTAGATCAATGTTAAACTGAACAGGCTAGAAATGCGGGCTGGGTGCGTGGGATTCTTGTATAGTAATCACCAACGATTTTCATTGGTAATTGATAAGTTATTCGCAACTAAAGTTTCTTAGCTGCTTAAATATTTTTTTTTGTATTAAGTATTTGATAAAAAATTGAGGTTATCTAACATTCAATATTGGAATACCATCAACTGCGAGACAAATAACATGTCAACAACCTTTTAGTAGGTATTTGAAAACGTCAATTGTGAGTTATGTTCCTTGGAGCTCATTATTCTATTAATATTTTTTTTTATTATAGAAATTTTTATTGGTTTTATTTCAATAACAAAACCAATAAAGGTATGTTAACACAGAAAAAAAGTGAAATGTTAGACATCGATTGCAATCAATTATACAATAACTTAACACATAATTGTTTTTAATTTATAGTTTTTATAAATTTATAAATAGCTAAGTAAGACGCAGTATTTGAATAAAATGGCTGCTCTAGTCAAAACTTTCTATTGAGTGTCAAAATTGTTACATTACATTGTAACGTGTGATTGAGATTCTGAGCTTCAACTCCACAAAATCACGATGGGTCATCAATGATGACTCTTCTCCAAAGATTAATTTTACCAAGTTGTAGTGATTCGCCCTACAACAGTTCAGTTCAACAATCAGGCCCTCTACCGGTCAACTACGGGTTGATTTGACTCTAAGAAAATTTTTCAATAACATTTTTCTTTGTTGGTTGAGTTTGTTTGATTGAAGAGTAAAATGAGCTATTGATTGATGTAAAGGCGAAATAATATTCAATCGCCTGTAAAAAAAAAATTAGTACGAAAAAAATGGAAATTTGTTTTAGCAAATTATGTGTCACATTATTAATATCATTTTGATAAACAGATGTTGATAGTTTCAACAAATTTTAAACGATGGCTGAAACCATATTACCACAACTGTGCCATTAAGCAATAAAGATGTAAGTCGATTAATATTTATATCATTCTATGATTAATCTATTATTAATACTAAAAAAAAATTAATGATGATACATATTTGCAGAAAGATTAAGAAATATCACTTGCTGTGTATGTTATAGATTTTTCTAATTATTCCGTAATAATTTATAGAATAAGTATAAATTCAAATGATACTGCGTAGTTTTAAATATTGTCTTTGATTTAAAGTCGCATAATTAAAGCATTGTGAAAATTTATTATTTCATCAGCTCAATTTATGTATCATTGTATTCTATTTGAACTGTATGCTATGTAAAGAAGTCTGATAGAAAATTAACTGGCGATAAGAATAACCAATCATACTAAAGTATTTCCTTTCTTCAAAAAAGCATTGGTTATTATTATATCCGTGAGAAATGTTTAATTTAATGATGAAATATAATTTTTGCACGCTTGTACCCCCCCTGGTACACTAAGAAAATAATTCTTGCATCAAAATGACCTTTCATTGATAAAAAAAATTGTAAATATTCGCAATAAAATATTTTATTGAATTTAGCAAAATGTATTTGAATAAATTTTTTTCTCAATGTAGCTTTGATTCAGAACTACAAATTGTTGATTGCGATCAATTTTTCTTAGACTGAGAAGAATAGAATTTAAAATTAAAAAATATCACATTGATTTCTTTCTTGAATGTTTCGTTGTGTCTCTTAAAAGAAAGCATCCTAAATGAATGATTATTGTAATCAAAAATTCGAGTATAATTTTTGCGAATTCTATATTGAGCGGCGGAACATTGAAGACTTTAGAGATTAATTCTGTCTAAGAATTTACCACATTAATTCGAACCTACATTTTTTTAATTTTTTCAGGCAAATAAATCAGATCAATTGTACTGGATAATGTTGCTTGTCTTCTCAATGTTCAATTGATTGGAAACCTTTTCAAATAAATAAAAATTACTGGAGTTAACAAATATATTGTTCACAAATAATAAAAACCAAAAAACCTAGCGACGCTTCAACAAATTGGTTTATGAGGTAAACGAAAATATTATTTCAAAGCTTTTAGATTTTTATAGATATTTACAGTTACAAGACATTAACATTCAAATCAATCAATGATTTTTTAGAATATTTTTTCCATAAAAAATTATAACTTTGGCCCACTATTTTGATTTTCTACAAACATTTAAAGATAAGAAAAACATAAAATTAATGTTTTATTTTTAAAATCTTTAGAGTAGGATTTTTCCTTAAATGTTGAAAAGCAATATAATTTAAAAGTGTAATATAAAAGTTGTAACAATGAATTTAATATCGGCCATAAACGACAATTGTTCACTTAATATTGAATCAACTTAATAAAATTCACTTCTTTTATTTAAAAATTTCACTTTTGTTCATCCTAGAACCAAAGATACCTTTTTATTGTAATTTTTTTGTTGCTTCTTTTGTCAAAAAAAAAAAGAAACTTCCTTTTATTTGACTCAAATAATAAATGAAAATTTTTATTAAATAAATATTCAGACACTGAGAAAGTGATATTTGAATCATGATATCCAAGAATTTAAAACTAAACTTTCCCACTATTTTTTTTCTTTTTATTTTAAATTTATATTAAATTAAATAATGTGATAATATTTCAATGAAATTTATAATTAATTACAGTAATATTTCTAGGTGAAGATTACCATGAAACAGAAGAATAATTGAAATTAATACCATCAATAAAAGATGGTAGAAAGTGGAAAAATTGTCATTGAGTCAAAGCCATAAAATTATGAAATATGACTGTCAAGGGATATAATTCAACAGTATGTATATATTATGAGCAACATACAAAACCAAGTCTGGTCGTTTTATTTTCTTCGTCATTACCGAGGGTCAGGACATTGACAATTGCGCAAATGTTTGTAGTCTTGCGGCCAGAAGAGTATTGAAAGTTTACCAAGCTCATAGAATGCTCCTGAAAAATACAGTAAATCATAACTAGTGAATTTATGGGTCAGTTATTGGGATAGAAGCTCAGAACTGACTCTACTGGTAAGCCACACACTTTCTCCTTACTAACCATTTTTCTTTTGGCTCCTCCTCTCTCTTTCTCTCTCTCTCTCTCTCTTTTTTACCTTATTTTCAGAGTGTCATAAATGTGCATGGCCAAAGTCAATTCACTTTCTCGAATGCCCTGGTATGCTGTGAAAAAAAAACCCTTTGTTGAAGGGAAATAAAATGAAGTTTAGTTTCTAGAAGTCTAAAAGTAAATTACTAAGTCTATTTATGAATTTTTATTGAGAAATACATCCTTTTATATATTCTTTAAGGAATTTTTAAGTGTAATAAATTTATCAGTTAGAAATTTTTTTTTACAGCCACTGGTGCTAGAGTGTTAAAAAAGAGTTGAAAAAAATTTGATACATTAAAATTTTGAAAAGGTATGTAAATTTACAAAAAATATTTAAGTGCTTGGGTTACTGATGAATGAACTATATTTGAAGCTGTAAGAGTAATTTGTACAATTTAAAAATGACTTTTCATTCACGGTTGAATTCCAATTTAGAAGAAAGTTGTGTCACAAAATATTTGACTAATGTTAGATAATATTATTCAACAGTTTTCCATTTTCACTGTAAAATTAGCAGTTTGTTGGGGTAAAGATAAGATATGTTATGAAAGTATGAAAAACTCGATCAGGTCGAAGATATCAGACCTCATATCTAGGGATGAGGGAGGCTGAAAGATACCTGGACAGATTGTAAACTGATAAAGCTGATGAATCCCAGAAAAATAACAGCCTGCTGTGCAATGAGTTGAGTGAACACTCAAATACCAATAAATTATTTTTTAAAGGGATAATATTTTCAAAATTATTCGTTTTACATTATAAGACCACAAATATCTAAAAATTTCACCATGTCATGATATGGAAAACAAGACTTATCATTTCTCATCACTTCTGCCTAGGAATAGCTTTCTGATCCTTGAATGTCATCGAAAATTCAGTCAAATAATTTACATAAATAATTATTCTGGTCAGAGACATCACAGTGATCGAGTTAAATAAATTTTCTCCAATCAATTTTATTTATTTGATAATCTAGTACACTGATATTTTATTTTAAATTTTATTCGTCTCAACTGACAATCAACAGTTTGAAGTGCTGAATCTTCTAGCTTTACTCCAAAATTATTTTTGGAGTCAAATTTATATTGTGTACTTTCTATCAACATCTTTCCGAGCAAAAACTAATCTTATAAGTCGACAATTATTACCACTTGCTTCCTCTTTCTCAACTCTACAACACTTTTATTTTATTATCGATAATTTTAATCCATTTATAATCCATCATAAAAATCATATTTTTAATTTAACAAAGAAATTAAATATTATCTAATAAGTCTTGATTAATTGATAAGACAGTTATGAAAAATTCAGAATCACAATTTCTGTCAATTTTAAAATGAAAAGATAATAGTCGCATATTTCATTGACGTATGATAGGTTTGTATTGCCAAGGGCAAAATAAGAGCTGTGAGTATAAATGGCAAAAGCTAAATGTGATTATGATCAAGCAATGAATCGTTTGATGCGTCGGTTTGTGTTCTAGGGTGACGTGTAATAAACTAGAGTCCTGAGATTTCACGTCGTGCGGCACGTGTATAACTCTTGTCCACGAACCAACCTACAGAAAATGATATCGTTGTATCACTACTGCGACACGTGACTGGCACTTCATAAACGTACATCATATCTCTTCTTCGTTTGTGCGTGCCGATAACTTTTTCATCGACGTCTGTCTTGTCAATGTTATAATGATAGCCACTTTTGATACTGTTCTTTTTTATTAATTTATTTTATTCTGTTACATCTATGTCAATTCTTATATCAAAATTGCTGACTTATATGAAATAAAAGTCTTCATTATTATGACATAATACTAAATACAGTTCTTAGATTGAAAATAAAAGTTACAAGTTTTAGGTTAGTTTGATCAATCATACAAATCATCAGTCACAAGTTTGTTTCTGGAAGTTTGGATGTGACGAGTACAAGAGGTGGTACGTGAGTGCTGGAAGCCATAAGAAAAGGGTAGTTTTTTGGTATAACGACGATCTGATGCCAGATTCTTGTTTCAAGCCTGGAAAAAAGCTGCAGTAGAGAAACTTGGAAAAGCATAACAACCAATGACAGGCAGATGTTGAAAAGTGTACAATTTCAGCTTTTGGAGATTAAAGAAAATGTTGACCTTTATCATACCACCGTAGTAATTTTGTCTATTTTGAAAAATTAAATGAAACTCCCTTTTTCTTACTAAACAGTAATTTAAAACCTACACTGGCTTGACATCGTATTGATACATTATAATTGAAAGCAGTAAAACTACACTCTCAAAAGGGACTACTCTAGATTTTTCGAATGAAGCTGTTAGTTGTTTACTATTTTTAAACATGTGTTAATAAAAAAAGTAATTAATAATAAAAAAAAATTTTTTTTAGGTTATTTTTTGGTGATGGAATTATGAATAAATAAATATTGATAGATAAAGTAAGTGTGTGTGGTGTTGTGATGATGATTATGAGTGTATTCACATATGATTATCAGAGCTTACACTCCATAAATAGGAATAGGGTTTGTATCTGTAATAAATATAATTCTAGACAGAAATCATGACATCTAAATCGGTAAACTTTCATAGACCATATAGGGGTAACATATATATAATGAAGAGATAAAGTATTCTCCCCCTGTATGATCTCCCACAGAGTGATGTCAACAACCCTTTTTTTAATCTTCTTTTTTTATTGTAGGTACAAATTACGAGAATAATCCTGTATTACCTTAAGAAGTAATGGATCAGAAAATCTTCATTGTTAAACATAATAATTATTTCTGCTTTATTAAATTATATGATGAATTTTAATTAAAATAATCAATGGGTTAGCGTTCTAAAAAAAATGATTGGAAGGTTTTATAAATAAATATTTGATGGATATTGATCAACTTGTACCCACACATTGCTAGATCGAATAATTTTGCGGTTTTAGCTGGAAACTATAACTCAGTTTTAGTTTGAATTTCGTGAGAACGTGAAATCGTGGGGTATAGAAGTAGAGATCGCATTCTAAGGGTTGTTTTCCTCGTCAAAGGAGTGAACGGCGCGAATTCACCGCGATTGCAGTAACAGCACCACACTGACATGGGACGCGCGTATCGGTAATGTAACCAATCACCGAGTGCAACAGAAACGACAATGATGGGAGTGAGAAAAGAGGATGGGGTTGGTTTGGTTCAGAATCGCACAGAGTTAGGTTGACGTAGACACGCTCGGCAAGCTCGGTAACGAGCAGTTTAATGACACCGTCCATGTAGACGTGGACGACCAAAATGTTCAAGGGGATGGAATGCTTTACTTTGTTTTGATGCCACGCCCTTATAAATTTATCAAGATTTGAGTTTTTTAGTAACATTTTTTCATTAATTACAATTTTTTGGCAGTGTGTTATCTATTTTGTATATGTTTTTTTAAAAGTTTCAGTGATTAAAAACTTTAATAAGAAAATAAATGGAATTCTTTTCATTTAAAGTGTCTATGAAAGAATGTTATCAATTCAATGAGAATAAACTTGGAGATGATTTTTACAGATAGTTAATAAAATGTTGCTAAAGATTTTAATTTAAGTACAAGTGGTGAACATGCCGATGTAAATAATATTTACACACATTACACAAGCAATGGAGATTAGACGATGCAAAAGGGGATACCGATGCTTTAAATGCACGTGCAGCTTGTATCAGTACCCCTGCGGCTAGAACAAAAAAGAAGGCACGCGACTAGCATTGCGTTTCTCACTAGTTATAAACGGGCGAACTAAACTTGACACGAGACCGAAAAGAAAATGTACCAACGATGTGTAGATGTAAGTCGTTAGTATCTCAGAGGGGTGTCCTTGTTACTTTTTCGTTAAAATTACATGTCCATCGAGTTTTTTTCCAATTCAATTGGTAAATTCTAAAGAACTATTACTAAACTATCTACATGTGTCTGCATCATTTTTATTTTATTTAAAAAAAAAAAAACTACTTATTAGATTTATTTGACTCTTAATTCAGCTGATTCGCTAGGATGTAAACCTTGGACAATTTGTTCAATCCAATCTTTATAATCGTAAACATTGGTAAAAACTCCAGGTGTATTTCCTGTACAGTCAATAGAGTGTGAAATTATACCATAGACTTCTCCGTTGATATAGAAAGGTCCACCGCTATCACCCTGAAAATAAAGTTGATAAATTTAATTCCCATGTGATCAAAAGAATGGAACATAATAAGCAATGATTGAGCTTTGATTTATGATTATTTCTCTAATTTTAACAATGAAATTAACATGTCTGAATATTTTTTAATGTTGTTATTACCAAAGATCAACCAAAAAATCATTGCCTGATCATTCAAAGCAAAAAATGCTCGAGAAATCATTTGTTCAATGCCAAAAAAAAATTATAAACTTTTAGAATACTTACATTACAGAATGCGATTCCCTCTCTTTCAATACCTTCAAATTTATAGCCATCAATATCTCTGTCAATAGTCATTGGTGCTTTTTTGAGATCTCTTTGTGATACACCGTTCTCAGGTTGTGTCCATCCCCATCCAAGTATTACTCCATGTTCACCTCTACCATACCGTCGTGATGGTAAGCCTGCTGGTCTTCGAGTAGGTCCAATTTTAATAGGTTCATCAAGCTTGAAATACCAATACACAAAAATATTACGATCTGCTGTTATCAAACATCATGAGTGAAAGAATTAATTTCTACTTACAGTTATAACAGCAATGTCTCCAACAAAAGGAGGTGGATAACCAATGAAACTCTTGTGAACATCAAGTCGAACGACTTTGTGAACTTGAACAGTGTCCACATTTTGTCGGTTACTATCTCCAGATACAATATTATACCAACGTAATTCGTACCTATATGGATCATTCTCTTCACGACCATTTACAACACAATGAGCTGCTGTCAACGCATGACGTGGGCTGATAAGCATAGCACCACATGTTTGCCAAGTATATCCATTCTCCAGAGCAACCATAAATGGAAAATCTTCAATTTTAGCATATCCTCCTCCAACTATTTTAGTCGGACGTTTCCCAGCAGTGCCTGTAATTAAAATAGTTATCAATTTCCATGCTCCAATATGTTTGAGGAAAATTTATGACTAATAATTATGACATTACGATGGACATAAAAAACCATTTCATAAATAATAGACACTAAAAAGTCGTAATTTCCAGTCAAAGAAAATTGATTTGTTAAAAAAATTGATTCATCAAGGAGCGTTTCCTGCACTATTCAGAGAAAAATTCCTAAGCATTCAAAAATTAAGTGATGCTGACCGATTTTCATAGCGATTTAAAATAGAATTGACTTCTAATAGTCATTTGCACTTCTATTACCGTAGCTAACACTTTATCTTTTCATGAATTTTTTTCCAGACCATGAGGTAAAGTAGCTCATCTTTTATGGCCATATCTAAATGCTTTTTACACCTGATTTTGGATAATAATCACATTGACATGGAGATAATTGTAAAAGAAAAATTATCCTGGAACATTTAGAACAAGCTTGAGATGTAATTGAACAGTAGAAAAATTACCAAATATTGGAATAATTGTTTTTCTGGTGTCCAATAATTTATTTCGTTATTCTGTTTGATGTAAAAAAAATTAAAAAATCATATTAAATTAAATTTCTTACCTTTCACTAATAAGATAATCGTGATGACCAAAAGTGTTGAAAAAGCAAAGTATCTCATGTTGAAAGCTGAGTATTCAAACTAAAATTAAGGTGAATTGTTGGAGTTATTTATATCCAAGAATAAATGCACTAAATGAACTAATTATTCATAACACCTGTAAAAATAAAAAATTGGTGTTAAATAGTTACTTTCCAAATAAAAAGAAAATATTAAATCACACTTGTACATATATGCAAATAATTTAAAGGAAAATGTTACAACATTGTTTATTAACAGTTAACGTTATTAGTAACACCCTATTTTACTGATCCATTTCGTTTATGATTATTACCAACACGTGCAAGTTTTAAATTTTTTAATGAGCACATACATTTTACGGATATACATAAAAGAGTTATAAGAAATATTTTTCGTTATAAAGAAACATGAAATGGGCATTTTAATAGCTTGCCCGCCTCCTGAATAGATCAGTGTAGTTAAGCTGTAGATATATAATACAGTTGTTGTCTACAATGTGTTAATCTTGGATACTTTATGACTTACAAGTAAACCATTCCCTCTGATTGTAAACTCTATCTTATTTATATAGAACTTTAAATCAATTCCTGTGAATATCTCTTTCGGGTTATATTTATTTGTCCAACATAAAATTAATTGTAGGATCTTGGAAATGTCGATTTAAATTCTGAGTTGGAGACTTCTTCATGAACATCAATGGATTATCCTATTGTTGAAGATTAACAAATTTCCATCAAAAACATTGGAAAGCTAATTTTCCTGGTGGTTGATGAAAAACCTGGGATCTTTTGGAGCATCAAAGTCATTTCTCTTTTAAAACTCATTCTAGGTCTGGTTTATTAAAATTGTTAGTTGCTGTAGAGATGTCATTCATTATTTTAAACTCTACTGGATTAAAAAAAAATATTAACATAATGATAAAATGTTGATCAATTTTAAGAAATGTTGAAGGACAAAGTATAAAGATTAGAAAAAAGCTGGAGTAAATGTTTGGAAAATAGACCAATTGGATTGAATAATTTTTTGGTAAATGTTCCAGTTAGTCAGCAAAAGAGAAGATGAATGACTGATCTGGTTTGTCCAGGTTTTTTTTATTCAATCACCATTGGAGAATTCACTTGGAAGCATTATAGAATAAAGACGAAAAGTCACACATAAGAAAAGATTCACATCAAGAGCTTGTTAGCAGTTTAGTCGAAGGTTCGTGGATGTCTTTATTGATTTTCGGGTATAGCAGGTGATCCCCTTGTTGGCCTGTTTGTTGCAGAGTTCTAGAATGACCGAATGTTACATCATAATGGATCGTGCGCACGAGCAACTCACCACTCTACAATACTCCTTTTTATTTTTTTCTCCTCTTTTTTTTTTGCTTTCGATCCTTATTTGTTGTCTTGTTGTCTACCGACAAAAACGACACGTTCTAGTTGTTATAGCTTGCATATGAGTCGTTTTCTATTGGTGAAACGATAAAATAAAATCACCAGGAAGTCGTTATTCGCCCCCACGCGGAGTTCACGTGGATTTTAGTTAAATGAGACCAGGTGAGGAGTTACTCTAGTTTCTATTCATAACAATTAGAATAGGATAGGTTTACAAATGTCAACTTTGATTCCTGCTGATAAATATAATATTGTTCATTTTTATTTTTAACTATCAGAACTGAAAAATGCAAAACACGATTTATGGGCAGAAAATTTGTTTTTATGTTCTAGGAATTTTTTTTGAAACCGCATTCTGACATGCAGGTTTTATTATGTAATTTTTTTTTTATATTCACAGCGTTATTCTCCACTCAATAAATAGATGAAGATTTTTTCTATTGAGGAAGCCAGTATTTATTCCAATTTTATTGAATATTAAAATAAAATTAATTCAGGAATGTCTAATAATTTGTTGCATTAAGAATCAAAATAACTAGTATTTAGAATTGTTCTGTTTTAGATGAAAACTGAATTGTAAAATCATTTCTAGGTTATGATAAATATTAGAATAATTTTTGGCAGCTGGAAAAATACTTTCGAATAATAATTTTAAAATCTCTTCATCAAATAAAAAAGAATACAATAATTAATAATAATATTTTCAGTCATAAAATAATAAATATTCCATTTAAATGTAAACAATTAATTTTCTTCTGCTTAACGAGAAAAAAATAGTGTTCTAATGTCAATACAATCATGCCATGTTCATCAATTAAGCATCCAACAAGAGAGACAGAGATGGAAAAAGCATCATTATCTAGAATTGTGAGGCATCATATAGTTCGGGTTGAAGCCAATTGGACTCATAAAATTGGATTTAGAAAAGCAAAAATACATTGCCAGTAGTATCAGAAGAATAGCTATTTAGATGTTGGATTCATGTAGTGAGACATCTGTTAGACAACTTAACAGCTCCCGCCTCGTTCTCTGCTCTTCTCCAGGTTATATATTGTATCCCTCATTTCTCTTTACGTTTAGTTATCTCCCTTCATACCCCCTAGCACTATGAAGTGCTTCATGTTATACATGGGACGTGTTACTGTTACTCCACAGGGTAGAGAGACATCCCTCAGACACCCTGTGGTCCAAAATGCTCGCACGCTTCACTCTCTTTTTCTCCTACACACGTTTCATTTTATTTTTTCCACGTACCACTTGCACCCACATTTCTACGTCATATTCTGTGTAGAGCATCAAATTCAACAGTTTTATTTATGTATGAGTTCGTAGCAAGCTTTGCGGGTGCTGATGGTCAAATTTCCATTCATATATCTCGACATTTGTTTGTGTCTATGTAGATGAACGTGTGCTCTATTTAACGCTTGTTAGTCTCTTCAATGTGTCGTTGTGATCCTCTTAATAATAAGCAAAGTCGTCGTGACATTTCAAAAGAATTATGTAAATACAAATAGTTCAGTTTTAATTAAAAAAAAATTTTTCCTCTGACAAATTATTTTTGTATTTTTAACATCTACTTGTAGTTATTTATTTTTAAACTCAATCAATACCAATAATAAAATTTAATTTTGTTATTCAATTAAACATTAATAATAATGCTTATAGAATTGCTAATTTTCAATATTAATTATTATTATTTAAAATCTTTGTTATAATGATATTATTTAAGGGATAAATTTGAAAGTAATGATTGATGATTATCAATATTTTTGGAATAGTAAAAAATATATATTTTAAAGGAAGAGAAAAGACTTTCTTTTCTTAGAAAAATAAAATACATAAGGTTCATGTAACAACAATGTGTTGAAGTGTCAGTAGTTGGAGATATTGTTACAGACATATTCATCTAGATACTTAAGAATTCTCATGTTTTAAAATTTCTAGGACAATGGGATGATTTTTCCTAACAATGCCAGTTGACGTATTCATAGATTGGAAAAAATAAAATATTTTATTACACATCTAATCATCTTAATTGATCCATTATTATTTTCCACGAAAAATGCTATTCAATTGAAATTCTTATTAATATATTAAAACACATTATCAACAAGCTTCTGGTAATCTCAATTCATATTAAAATAAATTATATGAATCATAATATTATTTGGTCACATAGATTTTATTAAAAATAATAATAATAATAAAATTAATTATTTGCTGTTCAGTAAAATGAGGAGTAAAATGTATAACAGAGATTAAGCAACATTTATAAAACAAGACGATGAACAAGATGATTTATTATGCAGCACATGTCAACTGCAGTCCATGTCAAATGTTGATGACATTCGATTATAGCACATGTCGTTATTATTTTACATACATGACATTTTATAGAGATATTTATATATCATATTTATAAATTAGACATAGATGTTACGTTGAATTACAAATAGAGAAAAATAATATGATATATAAATCTAGGTAAAAATAAATTTGTCAAGCTGTTGGTGGACTTGGCACAAAATATTATTAAAGATATAAAATAATGTTTACCCATGAGCACATTGATAGTGACAATTAACATCTAAAAGTGACAAGTTATAAATCACAGCTGGAATAAACATATGTTTTCACTTGTCAATTATTATTATTATTTTTTATAATGAACTTATCTTCTGCAATGTTATTGAAACTCGAGCTTGTTTCGAAACACACGACTCCTTCAAGAAACCAATTGAAATAACTAATTAGTGGAAAAAGTTTTTTTTTATTTACTGTTTGCATATTTTCAACTAAAATAAAGTATGTTTACTTATTCTTATACTTATCAGAATAGTTTTATTTCATGTCTCTTCTTCCCCTATATTCATTCCTCCACTTTCTTTCCAACTAATCCTTTTTGGCAGCCCCATTTTTTACGATTCAAACTATTTGAAGTATAAACAGTTGAATGATTCGTGTAGACGAAATTAGCTGTGCAAATTTGATTTATATCAAACACTGTCGCGACTGGTCAAACAGACAAAATACTTATTAATTTAATTTATTATAAACTTTTATTTCTCATATACCTGATCAAAATATTACATTATTCAATCACTATCTCATTTATTAATACTCAGATAATAATGTCAATTTAATTACTAATTACACATGCACGTGCTACTTATTAATTTCGATAATATATATGTTATATAATCACAATTTGAAAAAAAAAAAAAAAATCATGTAAGAATGAAAATAACACTCCCTGTAGTTATGATAGCTGATGACAGTTGAAATATAGATACTTGTCATGATGTTGGAAATTTCATGTGGATGTGGGTTTAGCTTTTTAATCCATCATGATGCTTCGAAAAAGGTGTAGGAGTCTATTTGTAAATACCATGATTACGTAGCACCAAATTTTAGAGCTGACACATACCCAAGGTGTCGTCTGTCTTCTCTAGAATGTTGGAGATTTGAGGGATTTCTAGCATCAGCGATAAAATGTAAAACACAAGATGCGGCTAATCATATAACATAGTTATATATGAGATCCTGCCTGACAAGAGCTTCCTTCTTCAGTCTAACTCTAGTTCAACTATTATTTCTTCTTTTTTTTTTTTAAATGAGAACTGTCAGGATTTTTCAGTGGAATTGTTGGTATTTTTGAAGCTTAATTTTATGATGCTTAGAATCAACGATGTATTTTAGGTGTTGTAGAATTAAAATACTACCGGAAATGCGTTAAATACAGTGATGTGATCTGTTTAGGTGTTCATAAGAAAAATAGAGTTGAGTTCTCATTTTTTGAATGAGTTGTCATGGAGTTGAGTATTAACTAAGCTTCAATATGTTATAGAAATAACTAAAAAAAAAAAAATTGTTATTTAATTTTATATAAATTTATAATAATTCAAGAGTTTGTAAAATAACGATTAATAGTTTAATATTTTGTTTTTGTTTGCATAGTCTTCAGAGTAATATTAGATTTTTAAATAAACAAACATTTGAAAATATTATAATTGAATTGAGGCACTGAAGGAAAACATCACATGATCTACAAAAAAATTAGGGACTGCTGTACAAACATCTTTGACAAATATTAATTTGTTGATGATGTTTGTTACATTAATGTTCTCTGAATGATGTTAAAATATTTTTAAAAAAATAAAATTTAAATGATTTAAATTTTTTTAAGCTTCTCTATCAAGTATTTCCATCAAAATTTCTTTTAAAATAATAATCAAATGGAGTTTAGAAATTTTATATTTAAATTTCTCAATAAAAAAAGAAGTTTTCTCTGTAAGAAAGAAAACCTTAGTTTACTTTGTGTTTATTATTCCATCTATCAGATGATGGATTATCCGGTGATTCTTCACCTAACTTCAACAAGACACACTTCATCTAAAAGAAAAAAAAAATCAGATAATAGTATATTATAACTACAAATTTGCATGTACTATTGGTTGAATACATCTTGATTGCTATTGAATTGTGATTCACTTACCAAAATCCTCTGTATGCACTACCAAAAATCTCACACGATTCATATTTCTCGCGCATCCTCTTTTCCACAAGCTCGACAGGTTGTCCTTCATCTAAAATGACATATCGTAGAGCGAATGAAAAACTTCCTCCTCAGTAAATTTGTATACCAACTTATGTGACTTTGTGGATTAACGTCTTGATTCTTGGTATTATTCACGATTCCGTCCCCTGGTCCTACAATTTAAAAATACAATACCAACATTCATCAGTGAATTCAAAATAAAAACTAGATTTACTCCATTTCACTTGTAGACATATCAACGTATTTATAAATCTCTTTTTTCTTAAAAAAAAAATATTCTTCTAGGTAGCAACACTCAAAAAAAGATTAGTTGGATCAACTCAAATTTGGAGTTGTATTCGAACTAATATTGCTAGTAAATATAACTTAAAAATTTAGTTGAACTTTAATTGTTATGAGTAGTAAAAAAATTTTTCTTAATTCAATGAATTAAAGTCATAATTAATTAAATAATGATAGGTGATCATTCGAATTAAATTTCAGTTGACAAGATTTCTTCAGCTACAACGTACAAAATTTAGTTGAATATACTAAACCTTTTTTTTTCAATGAATAGGAACGACAGAAAAAAATTTAAAATACACACGAATCTCTGATTAGTATAGAAACCCCATCCATCCCTAAAAAAAATTCAAGAGCGTGAAAAAAGTAATCTATGACTTGTCTTACGCATCATGAAGACATTGATTGTGTGGAAAATTCATTCGTATTGAGCAGGAAATGGTTCTAATAGGTATGAAACACTAATACGTAATTTCGGGGTATATGAATGTCTCCTTAGGGGTCCAATACCCGTAGACCAAGAATTCGCGCAGCCCATGCCCAGCACACGTTCAAAGTCTGTGGCATCAGTACCTAGAGAAGGTTCCTGATCTTGTTCTTTTTTGTATCCCGCTGTGCTTAGTCCATCTTGGACAAGTTCTGAGCTCTCACAATGCTCAAAGACTCAATAATCAGACAGAATGGCCGTAAGGTCACCACGAAGGGCGCGTGTCCAAGTCCTGGAGTGTCTCTGTCCCCAAGAACCATTTGGAAAGGCGATAGGTTGGCCGAGAACTCGCTCGGAGCCTCAGCGTGGTGCCATCGCGCCTGGACTGGTTCACCCAACATTAGTCAGCGGTGGATCTTCCGGGCCCACGTTCGATTTGACTCGTATTAGTCACGGATTTTCCAAGGCAACGTTTAACACCATGGAGATCTTTTTTGACTAAATGGAATTTTTAGGGGAGAAAAAAAAGAGAACATGGCATCGTGCTCGTTATGCACTCAGGTGAATGCTCATGGCATTGGCCACGCCAGTAACTCCCGGGAAATTGTGATTTTAGTATCTTCACTTTTTTTCCCCTTAGTCTCTTCATTTAGTACAGATGATCGAATAAAAATTTCATGTTACGCTAGTCAAGTTCACGAGCTGTTTTTAACTCTCGTGTCTACACTTAAGACTTCGGTGAATCGTCTCTCACGTTGCGATTAATCAACGCCATAGCATCAAAGGTCGGAAAGTCGAGAGGAGTTTGTTTATTGTACGGTAGCCAGACCACCATGTAGCAGTCGTTCCTGGAAACTTCTCTCTCTCTAATCAACCGAATAAGATGCGCTCCAGCTCTTCTTTCTTTTTGTTCTTCAAGTGTTTCTAATGAGAATCGTTTTTTCTTTAAATAAGTTATTAAGCTGTTAAATATTTCATAAATCTTCTAGACATGTTGAAATAGTTTGGTAATTTTGGAGTAATTGATGAATAATATATATTCATTTACTTGGATAGATCAATTATAAATAATGATTTTGTGCTTCTTGTGTAAACTCTTGATGAAGCTGATAGTTTATACTTACTCTCAGGGGATGAAAACTAAACATTCTCTTGCGGCTTACTTTGAACACACCATCATTGTAAGTTTGTACTTCGTGTGAATGTAAACAAAATCAACGAGAATTCAACGAATGACTGATGATCCAATGCAGAAACATTCGATAGTACTTCTTGAATTATAAAAAATCTTATCAGAGCTTGAAAAAAGATGTTTATTTTTTATTGGTATAGGCGATGTCTGAGGGTCATTTTAAAATAAATGAATCGTTTGTAGAAAAAATTGTGCTTCAACAGTAAAATTCAGACAAATGTATGATTAGCAATGATGTGTTTATTTAAGAAACCGCTTTATTTCATTCCCCAGTATACTCTTCAAGTTAGTGGCCAGTAAAACATTCATCACCACTTCTCACTTTGTGGAGCATAAAACTCTATGTTGCTTTTTTACATCATAAAATCAGGTGGAATCAGGATAGATGAGCAAGATCCTAATTATTCTAGAGAAAAATAAAATTAATTGATCAACTTATTGATTATAAAATATTTAAAAAATTCTTTTTAAACATTTAAACTCAATTATTATCAATACTCTTAATCTCTTAGAATTTATATCTATTCACTGCTAAATCAAATGTCACCATGCATTGTTAATCGTCAGCCTTTTATGAAGATGTCTATTGAAAATATTAAACACACCTTTCAATAATATTAAAAATCATGCAACACATTTCCAACAATCTCACAATATAATTTACATTCATTCGATGATTCCAGCAATAAGCTATCTAACATCAGTACACTTACCTCAACGTAAATAATAATAGAATTCTTAGTTTACATATCATTATTGATGACATAGCTAAGTATTAATCTCACACCCATTGTTAGAATATTTCAAATGATTATTAGATACTATCGATTGATAAAGTCCTCAACTTTTTGACGGTTTGTCTTGAAGAAAAAAGAATTTTCATAAGAATGTACTTGCATCTTAAGCACTTAAACATAAATGAATTAATCCGGGTATTGTCAATCAATAATAAAATGGTGCTTTCAATAATGTTCTATTCTCTAGCTGTTGTCTCTGATGTTTCTTACCACACTCTACATCCATTTCCGCAAGTCACGCGACCGAGAATAGCTCAGCGTGACGAACAAATAGTGTATTCTCCAGGAGCTGAAAGTTGATGCCCTTATGAAAGTACCAACATTATTTTTTGTAACTTAGAATGGGTATCACTCCTCCAACAATGTCGTGCCAAATGATTTCCTGTTACACTTCCATTAAAACGAAAACGTAACGACTTCATCCTGAAAACCATTCATTTTCTATTCGTGAGTAAAAGTCGCTTTCATAAAAAGAATTGGCCACACTATCCAGCGGTCTCTTTTTTATTGTTGTATTTTCTTTTCTCTCTCTGACATTTTAGTGGGGTCACAATGATATTTGCAAGGGCCACCGGTCTATTGACATGTCTTTTTCGGGTGTTTAGAATACCAACGAACAAACTTAAAAATTCTTTATCCAATTATCTGACCATTCACGCCTCCTCCAGTTCATCTTGGAGATGTGACCATTGGAAGTAGATCCATCATTCCTGACTTCCTTCCTGACTTATACTTGTCAATGCAAAGTTTATACACCATCATAGCAATATGGATCATACCAACAATTCAACCTCTTGCTCAGAGAGTTCTAATTCCAGGTGGCCCAGGTGTGACTTTTACTGATTTTTATTCAATCAAAACTTGAAATTATATTTAAATTCATTCAACATTCACTTGATATACTTGTAGCACCGGCATAAAAATACATGTTTGTAAGAATTCATCAGATTAGATTTTTATAGTAACTTTATATTTTTTTACTCAACATGAAGTAGTTCATTGTGTAACTATTGAATAAGAAGTAAAGCAGAGATGATTCTTTTTAAATATTATCTATACCATGTGGTAAGCTGTGTATCGAATTTCATTAGTATCCAAAGCAAAAAATCTCAAGTATTTTTTTTGTTCTGGATTGAAAACTACATCTTTTTCACATAAAACAATTAATTATTTGTATCTTCGATATTTGGATATTATTTTACTAGCCACTGTTTAGTGGAAATAATCGTAGAAACCTTGAGGAGTAACTTGAGATGACATTCAGGAAGCAACCAGTCGAGAGTTTAAGCCATTCAAGTTGTTGTGATGCTTATGCGGTCTGACGCTCACGTTATCCAACACATAGGAAAGAATATTAAGGTCGATGCTATCGAATAAAATTTAATCTGGTGTAGCAAAGCAAACGCACAAGTGGTCACCACCATTCTGGGCCACACTAGACGTTTAGTTCACAACAACGAGTTCATTGATGAACAAAAGGATCAAGACGTGACTCTTTTAATTCATCATCATTGAAAGTATAATCAAACTAACGCTATCATGTAGCTATAGAGGAAGCTTCATTAACGTATGAAGAATAGTAATATTTATATACACAAAGCCGCTGGATCATGAGACGAGTCATTCGATTCAATTCCTTCAATCTCTCAGCTTGTAAATTGACATAACTTCCCTTCACAAATGGTTAACTTGAATAATTTGTTGATGATCAAATATATTGAAGAAAAATAAGAATTACCCATATTGAATTATTCTATTAGACTTGGTTATCTCGATTTGTCTAATTCAAATGTCTCCTGCAATATTTAAAAAGATTATTTATTTACCAATCAACCTCCAATTGTTTTTCTTTATTTATAATAATTATTAGTTCTTACTGAATCACAATGAAAGACCTAGTGTATTGGAGTAATCATCATAACTGGCTTGAGCCTGCTTTAGAGCTTTGCTCCAAAAATTAATTATCAATTAATTATATTTTAACATGATTGTATTGAAGTAAATGTTTGATAATAAGTATGAATAGATATAAATATCCAAAAACAGCTACATTCCATTATTATTATTGTATAAATCATCCATCAGATGCTGGACCATCTGCTGTGATTGTATCTCCCATTTTATCGACTTGTTTAAGCACCGCCACTGCAATTGAACATAAATATCCTTTTATTATGATCAATGAGATAACAACCCAGTGTAATATTCGATGTTGAATCATGTAAAAAAAGAAAAAAAATTAAAAAACCTGAATATTAATGATATTATTGAGAATTTTAATTATCTTTCAGTTATGGTAGTGCAGTAAACAAGCTTTACAAACTTAATCATAAAAATATCTAAAAAACATTTTTATGAGAAACTGTAGAGCGGTTTATTTTTTCAATTCACTTGATTTTTTATGTTTAGTCAATAGCAGATGTTAATATGGGATACATTGTAAAATAAGTTATTAACTTTTCATTTCCCAACACATCTTTTTCCGCAGAAAAGTAAACCTGAATATGAAATTAAAACCTTGCTTATTACATGCTTGTCCTTAGAGTCGTAATAAAACTATTGGCAACACATTTAAGTTAGCTTTCATTTGACACAACAGTTGTAACTGAACGGAACATCAATTGGGGCTTATAAATTTTTTCGACTCATAAATGACCGCAGTAAAGTAAGCAGAATAGTGATGGTTATTTTCTACTTCTAGTCCTCTTTTCATTTTGGCTTTCACGGAGTTAAAGTTCATACTGACTACGTGGCCACAAAACCTATAATAAATAATATATTTCAAGACCGCAATAAGAATAGTTAACTTTACAGTGTTACCTGAATCTTACTTGCTCTCAGTAGCTCTTGAATCTTGCAAAATATGATGGTACAGGAACATAATGTGAAGCAAGCTATCGAAAAATGGAGAAGAAGCATCCAAGGGTCCATTTTTGTCGGCAGTTACCTCAAACATTTCAAGTACTTTCCACTGTTCGGACGTAGAGGTTGTTACTTTTAACAAGCTGACAGAATGCAAAGTTATAGTTGCAAGGGGTGATATTTATTGTAAACTGCTTTCAGGTGTTTTCATTCTTGTTTAGATAGTTTCCAACATCAGCAGTTATCAAAAATAATTACTCATCAAGACTTTGATTGTTTTTTATTGCCTGAAATATTCAATTAAATTTATAATTATTTAAAAACAATTTATATGTTAGAAATAAAATGAATTTTAGTAAAATATTATAGAAAGATGTTGAATAAAAATAGCAGGAAGTAATAGAATTAAGAATAAAATATTAATGAATGACTTTTCATGGATAAATAAATCAGTTATCTAGAATATTGAATTTTATTCCTGTCATAGTATTACCATGGTTTTACTGACATCCATGAATTATTTTTTATTTATCTACAACTAGAAATATCTGTACTATACAAGAATTTTTACATGTATCAGCTTCAAGGCAGTTCAACTTACCTTGAGCTCCTTCATAGGGTTTCATCTTCCACTCCTAGGGGGTGTCGATAATTGGCGTCAAATTACGTTGATATAAAAGGTTAGATTTTCTATATATCATGAAATGATGCTATTCTGGATGATCTAATACTCAAGCATAATACATGCTGGATATCAATGTTTATAACCACCTTTTTCCTCTTCAAAATTAGCCAATAAATATTTTTATCACTTGAACATCACCAGTCATCTGGAAAAAAATATATATATCAATGTATCCAATTCACAGAGTCCAATTCCATCAAAGAAAAAACAACATTTCATTAAAAACTATTTTTAAAAGCAAGCTAACTTTTAAGGATCAATGGGTAAGGATTAATTCTAAGGCTAAAATGCTACTCTAAGTTTTAAAAGTTGAAAATAAAAAAATATTTAGTAAATTTACTTACTTTTGTAGGTCTATTATCCAGGCTACATGGTAGCAGTTAATGAATGTGTTGTAACACTATTTCAAAGAAGGATCTACTAAAAGCTAAAGATGAAAGAGAAGGCGACTTATTATTATCCCTTTACCTATTTAACACGATGGTATTTAAATCAGCCACATCTTTTGTTGAAAATACGTAAAAATTTGTTAATTCCAACAAAGTCTAGTCCACATCTTGTTGAGTCCACGACCTGATGCCTCATTCAAGCCACAGACCACCCTATAGCATTGGATCTTAGCTCATTATTTTTATTTTCTCTGTTAGAGTCTTCAAAACCCTATCAGCTTAAATGAAAGCAAGGAATAAGAAGTAAAATCCAGATTACTGTTGACCCTATACCGCCTGACCATGGATTATCCGGCTGCTAGGTATGTATTTTCGTACACATTGTCGATACTTATTCAATAAGTCTTATGAAGATTTATGAAATTTTTAAAAACTTTTCTTTGTTTACTTATAATGAATTGCCACTCATTTAATCCTTACTTTCATCTAATACTCTCTTTCAAAACCAATATTAAGTGTACTGATGACCAATTGTGTGATCAAAATACCACCAAGTATAGATTAATTATTGATTGTCTATCAGAATAAATTAGAAAAAAATATTGACTTCATCTTTCATTGGAGATGGTAAATATTCCATTTCTTTTTTCCCTGGAATTTTTGTATTTAAATCTGATAAAAAGCTTGATGTCTTTTGCGCCAGACTCAGTGCCAAAAGTAACCCAAAGATTCCGTCAGCTTAGCCGTTTACAACGACAGGTTAACCTGCTTAACTTTTAAAGTTAGCGCAAATCGCATTAAGTTGAGAAAAAGAGAAATGTCGAACAGGTCATTTTCTAAGAAGCATTCGCGTACATTTTGTCTCTTTATTTAATATATTTTTCTTCCTCTTCCATGATGAATCCTTGCTCAATTTACTCACTTCGTTGAACTCTTTTTTTTTTTTGTTGGGGTAAGATTTAACCCTCATGTAGGCCACTCTTTCTCGACTATGATCTCTGAATCATCTTAAACATACGTTTGATGTGTCTAAAAAAAGATTTAACTGGTTCGGGCTTTGTTTAATTCTGCTGAAAGATACATTTTCTTCGATAGACTTTTCAGCTTTATTTCTCAAGAAATGTTTATGTCTGAAAAAGTTGCTAACTTTTTAAATGGAATCGAATGATGAAAAAGATTTCTATACTTAAGGATTTATGTCATCTATATACGATTTTACTACATACCTCTTGGATGAATAAAATCTGCATTCTTGGATTATCCTTGACTTATTATTTGAGTTCAACTCCTTCTGGAATATTCTTTTATCCACATTTCAACTCCAACATAAAAGTCAAATTTTACTGAGAAAATTTCCCTTTGAAGAATTTTGAAAATATTTATTTTATTGATCAAGAAATAACCTAAATATTGTCTATAAATATTCATATCTATTCTTTTATAATTCATTGAATTAAAATATTCTAACCTTAAACATTGTTTACATCATACTCTTTTTAATGGCCATCTTGATTTCTCGTGATTTCAATTGGTATTACATAAAATCATTGCAATGGAATAAACAATTTTGATCGATGGTCGACAGATGTCAGGTAAGCCGAATTCAAAGGATCTATATTGAATAAATAGTCAAACATTTGTTGGTATACTTCGGATACCTGACTATAAACTTCTATTTGGAGTAGAAACATACGCTCGCGGCAGTGATAATGTATTCCATGACCAGGGGATGAAGTTATGACCAGAACAATGTGCACAACAAGGTGGTCTTTTGAAGAAAGAGAGCGCAGGTGAGATGATAGATTTATTTCAGACAAAAAAAGCATTAGAAATAAAGAAATTTATGTGTAGGATGGAGAAAAATGCAAAGAAGGAGCTGAGGTAGAATAATACCCTAGGGTTTTGAGGGTGTGGCGAATGCGGCGTGCTTCTTCGATAATGATGTAATGAGTATTCCAGGGCTCCGATTGGTTACGCCTGCCCAGACTCTCGCTCTTTCACTGACCAGATAAAAATATTATAGTCAACTTTCATAACACGACTCGAGTAAATAAAAATAACCAAGGTTCAGCCATTTTTTTTTTGGAAGGAACGGAATAAATGGTGAGGAATTTTCCAGCTCTGATGATGGAAATATATTTGTTTATAATCATTTTGTTTTATTGTTTAGAGGATTCAGTGAGGATGATGACTTAATTTATGACCAACTTGACCCCTTGACTTTATGATGCCTGGAAGGTCTTGGTAAATTTTTGAAGTAACCTTAAAGAGAAAAACCAGCAATGGAATATAGCAGGTTGAATATCAACATCATCATTTACTGTAAGTGAACATTGGAGAACAACTATTGAAATATGCAATAAAACCTAATTTTAGAAACTTATTTCTATAAAAAATGGTAATTTACCTGCCTTAAATAGAATAGAAATTTTGCAATAGTTATAAAATATTATTGCTGAGTCATTTTAAAATAAAAGGATAAGATGATTTGCTTTCCCCAGTTTGTAAAATTCCCTAACTTGAAGGGTAAGTTTCAGTATTTTCCATTTTAATATTTTACTAATTATATTTTTATGCAGTGTAGTATAATTACATGAGACACCAGGGTAATTCCCAGTAGATCCTTCACTGAGAAAAAAATTTTTGTTATGCAACAAAATGTTCATTTAATCAATTAAAAGAATTTAAAATATTAACAATAAAATATTTTGTTGAAAAAGATAAAAATGATATAAAAATGTTACTATGTCAATTCTAAAAAAATATTTCATTATGGTTATTCAAATTTTTGATTTTATTAGTTGAAAAAAACCATACTTGTTCAGAATAAATTTTTTTCTCAGTCTTTTCTTTATATAATTAATGATGACTGATGATAAAATAATATTTTATTTAATCGAAAAATCACAAAAGATCCTCCGGTCATTTTTAGCATTAAATAATATTTTTCCTGGAGTAGATATGTCGTTATTTTATTGTCATTCATCAAAACTGCCACACTCATAATTACCCCGCGATCGTATTCATCTTACTCCTCTTCACACATGTGAATATTATTCAATTGAAAAAAATAAAAAAAAATGTCATTGGATTTTTACGAAAAGGCTTTTTCACTTCTAACTTGCGGCATCAAAAAGATTCTGAGGAACATATTTTTTCTATACTACTGTTTCTTTGATGTATCGTCGATAAGTATTGATTCCCTATTTGTTTCTTTACTTTCTTGTCATCGACCACCATGATTGCTACCGACCCTATATATAAGAAGTCTTCAACATTGTGATTATCAGATTTTTTGAGAAAAAAGCACCTATAAGTGACTATTTGTCCAGGTGGTCTTGTCGCTTTCATTCTTTTGAAGATTAAATCTTATTTCGAAATGTATATTGGAGGAAACAAAAATTGAAAAAATACTTTACATACTTGTTATTATTCTTTACAGTTATTATAGCTTAAATTCTTTTAAATCTTCCCACCGTCTTAGTTGTGTGTATACATTTTGTCACTGACATTGAGTAAGTTGTCTAAATCGTCTTTAGCCTCTGACAAATAACGTTGACAGGATCAATTAAATGGATTATTAAAAATATATATTTGAAAAGCTTCGTTTAACTCCAATACATATTTTTTATTTATCAATAAATTATTTTAGATCTTTTCAAATAAAATTTTTTTTTGTTATTAATTCAATACTGTGTTAATTGCAAATATATTTATAGCAATATTTTTTGCAATGTTGCAAAAAGTAGGAGAAGATTACTGAATTAAATAATTCAATTAAAATTAAAAAAAATAATGATTAATAAAACAATACAGAATAAATTGCAACAAAAAATTTTAATTATTTTTAAGACCCCTAATATGTATTTTACATATTTATAAAATTTATTTATTTATTATTATTCGATGAATAACAGCAAGAAAAATATGGATTTTTGCTGACGTGTTAATGTTCAATTGAACATGAACAAGGGTTACTTTCACCCTAAGAAATGCTGGTAGAATGAACAATGCCATTTATTGGTCATTAGTAGATAAAATGAAAATCTGCAGTGAAGATTAGGTATGTTAACATTGAAATGTTATTTAGTTAAGGGTTAATTTATATAGTGTGGATTTTCAAAATTCTTTTAAAGTAAAGGATTATATCCCTTAATACACAATAATATTCTTCAACCCTCTGTTTATTGTTATTTATTTCGTTGCAGTGAAGAAAACGATTATGAACACAAAGTGATTATAATAATCTGGCATTTTCATAAAGTCTAGTACTTATCAGGTATTTCTTTTACCACGATACAATAATTTATAAAACAACAATTAACAAACAAAACTAATAACAATTTACAAATAGTAACAATAATAAATTAATTATAATTGATAAATATTATTATCAATTATTAATTGTAATTAAAAAGTTCTTAATATATTAAAAAATATTCATTTCACTATTACAAATTATATTTAATATATCAAATTTTATCAATTTGAAAATATTTTTGGAATATTAATAAATTTTTGTAACTGCCACAAAATATTTTAGAGTTATTTAATTGAAATAAATGAGATAATTGATGCAATTAAATATGAAAGTAGTGATTATGAGTATAAAAATCATCGTAAAGGATATTATTTAATTATAAAATAATTACTTTCGGACGTACCGATAAGTTTGATTAATTAATTAGAAAGGGTTAACCTAGTAGAACAAATGAACTGCCATGCAAATTGATGAATCATCAGACGAGCAATGTGTCAGCAAGTGGTGAAGCTGAGTGTCGAAAAATAATGTTCTCAATTCATTGACTTGAGCCTACACAGACCAGCGACATTAGTTGCAGAGAACGGTATGATTACGCGTCAAACGAGGGTGATTTTGTATTGAAACAGGGAGAAAGCAACAAGAACGAGAGTCGAATGTACATAGGGTCAGGGATTTGTTTGTATTTCAATACGTGTTGCGGCTGCGCTCCCCACTACTCAACCTTTCAACCAACTCCACGTTTCTCTCTGTTTGCATTGTTTGCTGTCAAACATTGGGCGAAAACATCTAGCCAAGTGGGGATGCTTCAGCATCGAGGTATGATTCTATTGGAGGCTCTGGAGATCGGGCGTGTCTCCAACATATCTAGGCGCGGCTTAAGCTGTACTATATAGTGGTGCAGCAGTGGGAAAAGATCAGATGCGTGCGACCGCTCAACCGGTGCAGTTCGTGTTAACCTTTGTGACAATCTAAAGGGATCTGTTAGAAGAAATAGTTACGAATTATCTTGTAGTTACATCTAAAAGTGTTAACAATATTTCATAACTGAAAGATTGAAGTGATAAATATTAGTGAAGAACTCAAGTGTCTTATACTGGATATCAGACTGTTTTTATTTAATTCAAAAATATTAGTGAAATCATGGTGAATATGGAAGGCTCTAGTGAGCAGCAAACAGTGACAGCTTCTCCACCTCCTCGTACTACCTTAAAAAGTAGCTTCAGCATTCGGAGTATTTTACCTGAAGCTTGCACTGGAACTCCATCAACACCTTCAGTTCATCAATCCGTCTCTCCAGATGTCTCACATGTTGAAGATAGTGATGATTCTAGTGATTTGGATGTTACTGGCGACGGAGCTGAAACACCACCTTTGGATTGCTCCAGAAATGCTTCATCAGATAGTCCAACGAATCAACAAAATCAGCAAAGTGACGAGAAGAAGAAGGCTGAGAAACCTCCTTATAGTTACAACGCTCTTATCATGATGGCCATTCGTCAAAGTCCTGAAAAAAGATTGACTCTCAATGGTATTTACGAGTACATCATGCGTCACTTTCCGTACTACGAAAACAACAAACAAGGCTGGCAAAATTCTATCAGACATAATCTGTCGTTGAACAAATGTTTTGTCAAAGTACCTCGCCATTATGATGATCCAGGCAAAGGCAACTACTGGATGTTAGATCCTAGCTCTGAAGATGTCTTCATTGGTGGAACTACTGGCAAATTGAGAAGAAGAACAACAGCAGCTTCAAGATCACGTCTAGCTGCTTTCAAACGATCTGTCGTATTAGGAGGACTTTATCCAACTCCTTATGCACCACCTGGCTGGCCAGCATCTTTGTATACATTACCATATTTGCATCGTACTGGTTATCCACCAGCAACTGGAGCTTATCCAACACCAGCAGGATACCCAGCAAGTTTACTTCCTGGAGCCACCAACACTACCAGCATGCCATGCAAACCACAACCACTCTCAGCATCAGCAGCACCTCAAACTCATGGTGCTTTCTCCATGGAAAGGCTTCTCCAAGCTCCTGTTGGTTATCCTAGTGGTCTTTCTGGACCAACCATTCCAACACCAACGAGTCCATACGATTTCTACGCCACTTTAAGAAATTTGGCAGCACATCAACAACATCAAACTGTCTTTGGTCAACAACCACGGTATCATTTGGGTCAACCACCTCTTCCTAGCCAACCTACATCAACTACAGCATCACCAGGTAGCAGTCCAGAACCAATGTCACCACATTCACCGCCTGTTTCTATCTGTAATTCCGTCGGACAACAACCTAGGCAACTTCCACTTAGTTCATCACAATTATTGTTAAAACCCATCACTGTTCTTTCTGGAAGACAGAGTTGAAATCCTAGTGATTTAGCCAGGATTGAGGTAAATCACTAGCTTTGCACCGATTAAACTAAATTAACTCTGTTCTAAAAAGTGATTTAATTAAAAAGATGTCATCTTATCTGTACACAATTATGAAATTATGTATATACATCAGTCCAATGTTTTAGAGCATTTGGATTTATTTTGTAAATTAATATTTTGTACAAATTTTCAAATGGCATCTTTTTAACTTGCAATTACCAAATTTGAGGCTCATTGTAAAATTAATTATCGCCTCCCCAGTGATTAAATAAAATTTAGAAAAAATATATATATTGTGTATATATAAAAATAATTATATAATTGACATAATATCAAATTATGTAGTGAGTCTAATTATTCAGATCTCTCGTTAATAAATATCCAATTATTCTGGATGTTGAGGCAATGAATGAATGAATTGTTAAAATATTGTATATAAAAATAAAAATTATTATTTCATTATATTGCTAATTATGACATATTGTAAATAATTCCAAGTCAAGCAACAAGACAAGTATGTCTGTATAAATGTGAAAATAAATGTTCAAACCTTTTTATATAAATCTCATGTTGTTATTTAGATAATAATATTATCAAACATCATCACCTCATACACCTCTTCCTTTATCAACTCCACTTGATACTCTAGTCTATATTTATATAACACTTTACCATCGAAACTTATCTGCTGTTTGATAAACAGCAATTTTAGAGGTAATATTCCCACTATGTCAAAATATTGAACCAGGAAATTCTTTGAATAACAAACGAAAACAATACTAAAGCCTAATAAAACAATCAGGCTTGAGGTATCTACTTGGATGCTGAGGAAAATGGTTTATAGCTTCGCCACAGCCATAAACCAAATTTTTTTAACTTTCTGAAAGGTCTTAGGTTAGAACCTTGAGTCCAACTGTTAGAATCTATGAGTTGTTTCTGGACTAATACAAGTCGTCTGGTTTTTTTAGGGATCGGTATGGTCATATTAAAAAAATAGAGTTTTATTTTTTCTACTTTATTTCTTTCCTAAATGAGAGATTCTTTAATTATCAAATATTTCAAAATACCTTCCAATATCTTTGTTTAATATTTCAGTATCTTGAGTGTAAACATAATTATCAAGTTTTTAGAGAAATATAAATGAGAAAGGGGGTAATAAATAGCTGTTGAAGAAGGTCTACAATGGAACTTTTCTAAAAATATTTCGAATCAGAATTTTACTATTATTTTGCCGCTGAACCCCCTAAAAACCTATATTTTCCCACTGAACCCGCTGAAAAAAATTATTTTTGCCGCTGAACCTGCTTACTATACTTTATTTAAAATAAAAATTTTTGTCTTCATCCAGAATATCTACGCGTTTTCCATAATTATTATGAATTTATCAATAAAATATATATTATTAAATTAGTTTTATCAACATTTGACGATTAAAAATTATTTGTAGTGATTTAAAATAATTTCTAATAGTTAGTAATGGTGAGGAAATATTTTCTATAATAACTAATTGTTTATAGCAATACATTATTATATTTAATATGATTATTTTATTACTACCGAGTACAGAATGTTTTTATAAACTATTTTTAATAGTATTCAGTTCTTTTGATTAATATTTATTAAAAAAAAATTATTAAGTTACTTTTAATAAACAGTGATTATTAATTGCAACTTTTAAATATTTTTTTTTATTATTTTGTATATTTTAATTAATTTTTCATTATAAGATTGAGTTACCATTAATAGTATTTCATTTATAATATTAATTATTGTGGATTTAAATAAGTAGAAAAAAAAAAATTTATAAATTCGACACAGCGCAGTGGATGCAGAAACCTGGACTCGATCTCTCGATGTTAAGCAAAATTTCTCGTGTACAAATTTTGAATGGGTGACCTTAATGAAAATTTAATTAAAATATACAAAATAATAAAAAAAAATATTTAAAAGTTGCAATTAATAATCACTGTTTATTAAAAGTAACTTAATAATTATTTTTTAATAAATATTAATCAAAAGAACTGAATACTATTAAAAATAGTTTATAAAAACATTCTGTACTCGGTAGTAATAAAATAATCATATAGTAAGCAGGTTCAGCGGCAAAAATAAATTTTTTCAGCGGGTTCAGTGGGGAAAATAAGAGTAAAATTCTGACTCGGGATGTCTTATGGACACGTGTTAGAATTAATAACTTGTGTCATATATTGATCTTTTATGCAACTCAAGTCCTGAATTCGTATTCTTTTGTATTATCTTTGAGTTTATTCGTAGAAGTGCTGGATTTATTGTGCCAAGCTATGGTAAAAATTACACAATCTTTACACTTTTAGGTACGACTATAGATGTTTTATTGACATTTTATTTCCAACTTTTTATCGTGATATACATAGTAAAACAGTGATATTTGAACAAGCGTAAATATTTACTTGGGCTTTAATAGGAAATTGTTTTTAAATATTCCACTATCTACTCCAAAACTACGACTAATTCAGTTTTAAGGAGTAAATAGAATATTTGTTCGTCTTAGAAGTACACTGAGAAAAAAAACTTATTGTGAACAAGATTTTTTTCAACTTATAAAATTAATATTTTAAATAATAGTAATATAATATTTTTTTAGAATGTACATGATAACATTTTGATAAATTCTGTTCTGATGATTACTTAAAATAATATAAAAATGTACTTAAAAGAAAAAAAAAATGATCAATAAAGTGAAACATTAAAATAAATCAATATTGGTTTATTTTAATGTTTTACTGAATTGATCATTTTTTTTTTTAGATTCATATATGAGACACTACAGTGTCTCAGAAAATAAAAATTAATCTAAAGTCACTTAGGTGATTTTAGATATTATTTACAATACAATTGTATTTGAACCTACCATAATCTTGAATTAAATATTAAAATAAATTTCCTTAAATGTAATAAAATATTTTATTGCGAATATTTCAAATTCTTTTTATTAGTTAAATGAACATTTATTTCTTAGTGTGCGTCATTGATAATCAGCCAAGTAGTTGTAGAACCTACAATGTAGAATGAGTAATCATCGTAAATAAAGACTAAATACATAGAGTATAATGATATATATTACGACTACTCATATTACGACAACTTTTTATTCCGAAATGTGATTGCAAAAATTTAATGAAAAATTGGAAAAAATATTTTTTCATCATTGTATGATATCATTCCTGTCTATCGAGGATGTTGACTGTTTTAATCAAAACCTCTGTTTCAAAAATGACAAATTTATTATGAAAACAAAATAATTTAATGTTAATTATTAATTCATAATTTGTCACTGTTAATTTTCAGTGGATTTCATTTTTTGCTACATGTACTGCAGTACCCCAACATTTATTATTTTTTTAATTGTTCTATTTTTTTTTCAATCAATGTTTGAATGCGTTGATGATAATTGATTTCTTATACTAAAAAAAAATTTGTAAGAGCAATTTGAAGTGTAGCTAAAATAGATTACTATCATAGTAATACTTATGCCTACTCTAATTATTTAAATAGTTGTTATAACTATCTAGATAACTCCTACAACTATCTTAACCGTATGAGCAAGTGAAGTATTGCTATACTAGCAATTCTGCGAATTTTACAGATTAGATAGTTAGAGGAAAGTGACCAAGATGGAATTTCTGTATTTTTCAAATGATGATATTCCATATTAACTATACTATTTCATATTTGGTGACTTTCCCCTAATCTAAAGAGTACGACATTGGTTTTTACACACTTAGATCTGCGTTAAAAGTGACTACAATGTTAATCAAATGGGTGACGTTATATTTAACACACTTATCCGCATTAAAATAATGCATTTTGGAAAAATAGGTTTTACAGTGTAGTTGTTTTTAACGCAACACAATAATCTATCACAGTGTTGGGCAAAAATATTTTTGAATAATATTGGAAATTGCTTAAACAATTTGAAATTGTATCAATTAAGTGGTAATTCAAAAATGAAAAATGTTAATTTTTTTAATGGTCAACACTGATTTGCCATTGCCATATACTCTATTACATAAATTACAATTTGCTATAATCACATTAATTATTTACAAAAAAGAGTCTTTTAACATAAATAAAACCGTCCATGCATTTATTGAAAATGATTGAGGAGAAATAATATTTTTTTTTGGGCAGGATTAAAATGAATGTTGAATTGATATCAATGTATTAACCATTTGTATGAGTTACATGTATGGTAATGGTTTAGTTAACACGAAGTAATACGCGTGCACATATCCACGAAGAGTTTACGGGGCGCGTACACGGTGCGGGCGACGTGCTGGCGCGATATTGGTATGATACATTGAGACAATGAGGCGTAAATAAGATAATGGACTACGCTCGCGTACGTCGAGGAGTTAAAGCGTTTGAAGGGCCCGAGAGTATGGTACTTGCAGAGGGAGCGAGAGAAATGAAAGCTGTAACGAAGGAGAAAGAGTGGTTGTGTGAGAGGAGAGGGGAAAAGAGACCGGTTCAGATCAGCAGATGGGATTGTGACCCGCGCAGCCTACCCACTGGCAGACGTGCTTGGCATCCTTATACCTCGAGTACGTAACTATGCAGACTGCCTGTACCACTCTTATTAAGGTAATTTCGGTCTCTCGATCGAGAGTAGTCTCGGGTCTAATGTGAGCCGCCTGACGCGGAGGATTTAGGACTGCTTGAGTCTATTGAGAATTACACTAATATGTGCAGGGAATGGGTGACTCGCCGCGTGGGCTGTGGATTGAACTTTGGCTCAGGGATGAATTCAAAGGCTACTTATGCTGGTGAGTCATCTATCAATCTCTAAGTTTGCCAACTAAAACTATTCTTTCCCAATTAGCTTGTCATTATGGTGATGTTTATTGTAAATAAAAATACCATCATGTCATGTTGGATGATCAATAAAATTCAATTAATTATGGAAGATTTCTGGTAAATATAAATGTTGGCTTTTACGAAGTTTATGTAGCTAATAATCATTTGTGTTGAGTGTTTTAGAAAAATTATGTTATGTTATTTAGATGTTAACGATAATCAAACAGACTCCTAGGGTGGAGTTTAACAGAGATAATATGCTACACAGCATAAATGAATGTTGACATTTCATACTTAGGCGTTCTTTATGAAATATAACCGTCGATTTGGTAATCGTTAAATATTTACGTTGATTAGATTTATCAAATATTTGAGCATTCCTGTATGTTTTGGTTCGTTGAAAATTAATTGTTTTTTTGTCAAGTAATTTTTTAACAGCTTTAATCAAAATAATATTATTTTTTATTTAGCAATTTATCCTCCAAATCGTCGAAATGTTGATTAAGATAATTCACTTGAATAATGAACTATAAATACTTTGTTGATAATATTTATTAACATTTTTATGATGAACGCTTTGAAGTCCAAGATCCTAAAAAAATAATGTTAATAATGAGCTAAGTTAAGCATTTAAAAAAATTTAAATCATTAAATATTAATAATAAATTATTAATTAATCATTGTTATTATTGTTGTTGGGGTATTAT